GGGTGAGACTGAATGGGCGGCATTCGGCGAAAAAGCATGATGGCATTTTGTACTACTCCTGTATGCAAATGGGTAGGTGGCAAGATTCGGCGACCATGCGACATGACTTTGCGATCTTATTATGCTTAAGGAGTCATTGCATAGCGTTGAGATATTCATAATAACTCTCTGATCTAGTCCCTCATCTACAACAATATATCGAATAGAGATACTCAAATGATTCCAATTACTGATGCATATGCAAGTGCGGGACGATCACCATAGTTAGTCTGTATTCTATGCATGAACCACTGTTCGACATAAGGGTTGTGCATGCATCATGGCCCAGTCTGGTCTGGATGCAAGAGCTGCACGTCGGCTGCCTCGCACAATCACCGTGAAGCAAAGACATGTGATATAAAGCGGATGTAAGAGGGCGTCGGAGCTAATTGTAGGCGTTGTGCACTTGCCTTGCTTTATTAACGGGAGGTACAGATCGAGCAGATCTCTAGTTTCTCATGCTGTGCTACGAGGTGCCAATAGATCTCGGCACCTGGAAGCCGTGTGACATGACGCAGGTACACACTTTGGATGTTTGCGTCGCCGTCTTGAGGCTCGACGACTATTAACAGGTCGCCGACGGCATTGGGCTGGACAATAGATGCGGCAGCGCAGCATCACGGCAACCGCCACCACTCGGCCGGCCACGAGTTCTTGCTTGACTCGGCGGCCATAACATTGGTTGCATATCAAGGATGCCGCGAAGCGAGCATTCCTTCGCCATGCCTGTCCTCAGAACATCTGAAATCGTCATGAAGCGAGAGTTTTATGCAGGCTAGACGTTAAGCTAGAAGAGAAACCCCAGCATTGCACCTCGTAAAGGGAAAGGTGAATGAGCACCAGACGTCGCGGCTCCGCATTTGTTTGCTTTTTATTCGGCAATCGCTCGTCAACTCGTCAATAGATCGCGAATGTGGCTTACACATTATACAACGACGTCCGGAAAAGCCCAGAGATGGATGGCTACGTCGACAAGGAATTGCCTGATAAATCTGTTCGTTCGAACGACGGATTGCACTTGCCCCTGAATGAACCCCCACCTTGGGCTGTCATGCGACCCAAGTTTTGATGCTTGAGACAAGGTCCAGCACTGCGGGAGGAGCGCGCCGTCGTTCACCGCCCGCTTCTTGTACATCTCCCGCGGCAACCGCAGTATCTCCAGGAGAAAGGAACAGAAAACGTCATGCTGTGAAGCTGGCGTGGTGTGGCAAAGCAGATGCCACTACTGCACAAACATGGTGTCTGCACAAGACCTGCACCCATGGACGCTGGTGGCGTAAGGCGCCTTCAACACAACACATCGGGGTCTCGCTACATGAAGAACGATGCCCACACTAATCTCGGTCGACTTGCTTGCGGAGCGGACCACTATGGTGTGCATAGGATCAGCCACAAGTGCCCGACCAAGGCTGGCTGGCTGCTATGGGCGCCCATCTTTTGTTTTTTCTTAATGCGAATAGCCTCAGTGATGCAGGTGGCTCTCCTCTGGAGAGAATTATCGCCGGGGCTTGGGTGTGCACATTTAAATATCGGCCTGACCTGTCCCCTCTCCTGCAGGTCAATGAGTCGTACATATTGGGTCTGAGCTATATGACATCGTTGTTGTGCCGCGGTATCCTACTTTGAGCATCCCTCTTCGCGGTTTAGTCCCTCTTATTCCAGCCCAGCACCCACGATCGCGAGGGCCGCGTGTTATCTCCTTTCCAACATAACGTGAGCACGACAGACGATCGCAGAGTAGTGCTTCGCCTATAGCAGCCGTGATATTGTCCTTTGCTGTTGGATTTATCGCAACGAGGTCTGAGCGCGACCCGCAACGCTCAAATCTCCACCCCCGACTTTGACATTACAAGACACCATCCGCCCACTGCGCCATCCGAAATCTCCTAGCGACTTGTTCTTGCGCGCATAGCAAGCGTAGATCAGGAACACACGCGACTCCAAGCATGGCTTCAGAACAGGCGACCAAGCCCTCGGTGCTGATAATAGGAGGGTTGGGTAAGGCTTGCTCTGAGCACCACCCAGGTATGACAGGAGGGCTGACCATGTCGATTAGGCTACACCGGACGACACCTCACCAAGTACATCCACGACAACAACCTAGCATCGCAGATACGCATCGTCGACAAGCACCTCCCAGAACTAGCATGGCTCGCACCCGAATTCAAGGAAGCGTGCTCGAGAGAGCGATTTATACAGGCGGATGCGGCGCAGGAAAGTGCGTACCCCTGACCACATCTCTGGGTGCAAGGGATGTCTACAACCAGACATTCGAGGCTAACTCGAACCCCACAGAATCCCTACCACGAATATTCGACCGTGAAGGCGGCGCTGAATTCGACTACGTCTTCAACTGCGGCGGCGAGACACGCTTTGCCCAAGACGAAAAGGTCTACGAACTCCGCTCCTACGGCCTATCCATGGCCATCGGCCGCGAAGCCGCCAAACGCAAAGTCAAGTGCTTCGTCGAAATCAGCACTGGAATGGTCTACAAGTCCGACAGCACACCGAGCAAAGAGTCAGACAAGCCGAAACCGTGGTCAAATCTGGCAAAGTGGAAGCTCAAGGCTGAGGAAGACCTCGCCAAGATCGACGGACTGAACCTGATGGTTATGAGGATGGCACACGTCTATGGCCCGTATACGAGCAAATTCCTGAGCACAGCGCTTTGCATGGCGCGGGTATACCAGAGCAAGGGAAAGGAGATGCGTTTTCTGTGGAAGGAAGACTTGAGAACAAATCTGGTGCATGTCGAGGACTCCACTAGGGCACTATGGCATGGTGTAGAGTGGTATACCAAGAGTTCCCCAGGACGCAGGCCAGCACCCACTTTCAACATCGTGGATCATGCAAATCATTGTACGGATTACCACTCTTGATCCTTGAACTTACCGCAGTACTAACATCGTCCTTAGCACAAAAGCAAACAGCCCAGCTCATGGGCGAAATCTTCAACATTGAAACTGGCTTCCACGGCACACTCATTTCAGCTTTTGCACGGCTGAACCTCGACCACGTCGTGGACGAAGTAAACGACGAGACACTAGACCCATGGGCGGAACTACAGCAGCAAGCCGGCATCAGCTCATCGACACCGCTGACACCATACATGGAGAAGGAACTTCTGAAAGACGCTGATTTAAGTATGGATGGAAGTTTGTTTGAGAGGGAGACGGGATTCAAGTGAGTCATTCTGAGTATGTATTGGAGATGACAAGATGCTAATACAAGGACAGATACAACGTAGAAAAGATCACAAGAGAAAAGGTCGAAGAGGTCATTGAGAGCTATAAGAGGATGAATTGGTGGCCATAGCCGTCTTCCGCTACACTCAACCACTTCTTTTCATCGATACCCTCTCTCTTGTCACGACCTTTCTCACGACGACCACCCATTTTCTCGTACATCCAACCCGCCTAAAACCACTTTTACACCTTTCGAAACGACAATCATTTGTTCCGTTCAGCATAGTAGCGCAAGTATGCATTATCTGGAGCTTTCCAAAAGGGTCATGTTCGATACGATTCGACATCTTCACACAGGTCTTCTTATGTCTTGCAGACATCAGTATACGGCGGTCGCATTTCTCTTGCGTGTCACAGTTTTTCTCTTGTATTTTTGGGGCAATGTATCCGGTATGTGCATGTTACTGTATGGTATTGGTCTTGTTCTTGTTGCTGTTGGAGCATGCGAGTCATGGTGTTACATACCCCTCAATCTAGCATTTGTTCGTATACACTGCCACCTACTGTGAGACAACTAACTATGCGGAAATATTGTCTTGCTGTGATTGGGCATCCCAGGAGTGTGTGGTACATGAAGAGCATGTTTGATGATCAGACTAAAGTTGAAGATCTGGAACATGCCGGAAGTCCATTATACACGGAGTGGTAGGGCTACAGAGTTACATAAAGGTACCCACGGGCTCCCTACTCTGAGCTATCCAAGACTTGGCAGTACTCTGTCACCGTTTTCACCTAGCAACAAGACGTGCAACGCGGCCCGACCACTTCATATGTATTTATACCTTGACCTCCCCCTAAGAAGGACAGCAAACGAAACTCCAGGACTTGCTCGCAGCAATGCTAACCAGCTCGGCTGCGGTTGCAGTTGCAGTTGTCCTTGTGAACTTTGCTGTCAGCAATGACTGCGACGATGGATGGAAATCTCTTCGACCAAGACCATTCCATTTTCTAGAGATCGTACCTTGTAATGAAAGGATGACTTAGCGACCATAATGTTTGCCGATTCATCAAGTTACTCCTCCGGACAGGGCAGTGGTTGACTCTGGGACCTAGTTAAGCTTCCTTGTCCACACTTGAGACTACTTATCCAACAGGGAAAACGAGCATAGGCATGAGTGTTTCGACATTGATATTCGGAGCCCTCATTGTAGGCTTTAGTAGGACTAGCACTCTTAGGCATCTACGAGCACTACATCAAAAAGAGAAACTGAACATCTCTTTAGAGCAGGATAATCCTTTCCACTATAATAAAGCATACTAAGAGCTATCTAGATCTAGATATAGATTCTAGAAGTCTACGATAATACTTATCTTTATAAGTTTTCTTATTAGAAGCTATGGTCAGCCGCAAGGTAAGGGTTGTTATCTCTATACCTGTTCGGTTCTCCCCCTGCATGGGTTGCGAGGGTACTAGAAGTAAGTGAGGGATACATTTGGTCAAGTGGGGAGACTACTTCAACCCGCCTTGGGACATGTAGTACACAGGTTCAAACGATATTTTGCTAAATCCCTACCGTCTTTCGCTTGGCGAAACACAAGATTTCAGGAGACAGAACAAGATCAATTTCGGCCTTTTCCCAAGCCTGGGGTACTCTCTCTATATTGGACGAGCTTGACTATTGCACAGATTTATATAGCATTGAATGGCTTGACTGGTGGATGCTATACGACGCTTATGCCTTCTGGGAAACGATCCCTAATGTCTGTTAGCCCGTGTCATGTGTTGCAAGTACGGCTCAACATACTCTCAATGTCAGTGACGCTCTGGTCAAGGATTTGCTTGAGGGTCTTGGGGTTGTCGAGCTCCTTCTCAATCTTGGCGATGATGGACTCGGCAAGCTCCTTCTGCTGCCTCTGCTTGACCTGGCCCTCGTAGCGGACCCACGAGTCGAGGACAGACTTGGCCTCGGCGGCGATGGCAGTCTTCTGCTCGAGCTCGAAAGCCTGAGCCTCGAGCTGGGCGGTCTCCTGTGATTTCATCAGTCTCGTGTCCCTGCATGTGCCCAATCGCAGTATCGCACCTTGGAAACCTCGAACAGGGTCTTGGTGATGTCAATGACACCGCCGAGGTCCTGGACGCTCTCGATGCGCTGCTTGACAGCGGTGGTGTGGTCCTGGCGAGCAGCGTTCAAGATACCCGAGATCTTGTCGACCTGCTGTTGCGCATAGTCTCCCCAAGCAGGTCCGGCGTACTTGGCGACGGCCCAGAAGATGGTAAGGAGCGAGAGGGCGACAATGGACTCCTCGTTGACGACGTAGAGCTCGTTGCTGATAGCGGCGACACTGAGACCGGCTCCCGCGGAGAGGACGGCGGCCTTGGTGAGGGGGCTGTTGCCGGGGACGGGTATCGCGTCGAGGACCGACTGGGCCTTCTTCTTGGGGTCCTCCTGGGGCAGGTTGGACTGATAGCGGGCCTGGACGGCGATGGAGGGCAGGGCGCGGAGAGGGAGCGATGGGCGGAGACGGGCGGCGCCTATTGTGGGTGAGCACGGGGGTCAATGGCACGGCATCTTCATCGGGGTGCTGCTACTCACCGACCGCGCTCCTTGCAAGACGAGAGGCCATGGCTGTCTGATGAGAGTGGGGAGTTGGGGTGCTTTGTCGTCGTCGAAAGCTAGCTTTTCGTGATGCTGCGTCCACTCAAAGAGCCAAGCGCCGACGCCGATGCGCTAGCCGAACTTCGCCCGGCCCTTCACTTTTCGACAAGGCCAACTTTTTGCGCTCGTGAGCATTCCAACTCCACGCCCAGGGACACGTTTGAGAAGAAGAAAAAAACCATGTCGGGCACAAAGGCCGCCAACATGTCTGGTGTCAAGAGGAAGAGGGATTCCAGCAAGCCCGAGCGCAGCGAATCCAAATCAAAAAGCAGGCGCAAATCACCCAGCGACGACGGCGAGGATCTCCAATCCGAAATCCTACAGCTCGAAAAACAGATTCTCGAATCGCGGAAACACTACAACAACATTGCCACTCTTCTGGGGCGGGCGAGACAAGCAGACGCCGAGAATGAAGGACCAATACTCGCCGCCGTCGCCCTCTGCCGAGTCTTCTCACGACTACTCGTAACAGGCGACATGGTCAAGAACAAGGGCATGAGCGAGGCTGAGGGTGTCATTGTATCGTGGCTGAAAGAGCGCTACCGAGAGCTCTGCGATGTCCTGTTAGACGACTTCCTCCGCAGCGAACACCCCCCGAAGCAGTCTGTGGCCTTGACACTGGTTATGCGATTAGTCAAAGAGGAAGCAAAGTCTTCCAAGGATTACAAGATCAAGAACGGGCCACTGCCGAGACTCATCCGGGTGTTGCTGTGCCTTCCCCTCGACGATCTGAATCGCGACGAGTTTGCCGAGAAGTACCTCAAGCAGTTTGACGATATCCGATACCAGACATTCCAGACCATCAAGTAAGTGCATGCCTACCAAAGGCTGGACGCTATCCTAACGTATGCAGGGATGTACTTGACAGCGATCTCGACATCACAACGCGCCAACTCGTAGCTGCCAATAGCTTGTCTCTTCTGTACACACTTACCGAAGTTCCCAAGTCCAAGACCGACATCCAAAGCTTCTACGTGCAGGTGCAAGGGAAGAGTCCGATACCGTCTCTTCAGGCATACAAGGAGAAGGCGCAAGCAGCATGGTTAGCGACCATGCGAACAGGTCTCTCTAAGGAGCAACGGAAGACTATCCTGCACAATTTCTCTCACCAAATTGCACCCTGGTTTCAGCAACCCGAGATTCTGTCAGACTTCTTGACAGACTCCTACAACGTGGGCGGCGCAACCTCTCTGCTGGCTTTGTCTGGAATCTACTACCTCATCTCAGAGAAGAACCTCGACTACCCATCCTTCTACCTCAAGCTGTACTCCCTTTTGGACGATGGCCTCATGCACTCAAAACATCGATCGCGTTTCTTCCGCCTGCTAGACACTTTCATGTCCTCCTCCCATCTGCCCGCAACCCTCGTTGCCAGCTTCATCAAGCGTCTCTCGCGACTAGCGCTCCATGGACCACCAGCCGGTGTGGTCGTCGTGGTACCCTGGGCCTACAACATGTTCAAGAAACATCCAGCCTGCACATTTATGATGCATCGCGAGATCCGGGACCCAGCTCTGCAGGAGGAGCTGGAAGAGGAGGGCATGGACGATCCCTTTGACATGGAAGAGCAAGACCCTCTCCTCACAAACGCCATCGAAAGCAGTGTCTGGGAGCTAGAGGCACTGCAATCGCACTACCACCCTAACGTAGCGACACTGGCAAAGATTATTTCAGAACAGTTTACCAAGCGAGCGTATAACCTGGAAGACTTCTTGGACCACTCATACACGGCCCTGCTTGATGTCGAACTAGACCGTGACCTCAAGAAAGAGCCAGAAGTCGAGTTTGAGATACCCAAGCGCATCTTTACCGCAGACGAAGGACTGAATACGTTTGGACAGTTGCTCACGCAGGTTGTCGAATCAAGGTAGTTGATGCATATGTAGTTGGAGAATGATACCCAAAGATATGTATTACTTGGCCAGCTTCCCAGGTTCCCTTTGCCATGTTAGGCCACTGATGTATTCAAAGGTTCCCCACGGTCATCTAAACATGAACTCGTGGGGTATCTTCACATGCTTACAAAAGAGTGTCGTAATTGTACCATACTGTCGATAGTGACGACAGAAAGCTAGAACCCAGCATGAGCTTTCGTTGTTCAGGCATAGCACGTGCAAAATTCCCTCTACTTTGCTCTAGCTGTGTTCAAACACGATGAAAAATGGTTGAGACGCACACCGTGGTTGACTGGTTAGCTTAATATCCGCCAAGTGTTGAAACAAGGTTTTCTAGCTTCGAGGCTTGTGGCTTGCTCGAGTAGCGTTTTTCTTAGTGTTGACAAGCTAATGCAATGTCACAAGCTCGTTGGTTCGGGGCCGCCCGCTGTCTTTCTCGTGTTGCGCGTACGATAAGAGACGTACATCGTCGTGGAAGGATAAGAAGATGGGGAATGGGTGGTAAAACCGCGTAATGGAAGAGGAGTCGTCTTGCAGATGCATGACGTAGTCAGTATGAGAGATCGGAAGAGTGCTGCAAGACGAAAGGCAGGTCGGCGATTATCTTGCATGCATTGGCGTTGTCAGTTCCAGGTACCAGAGACTTCGCATTCAACCGCATGGTTTCGAACTTTCACATGTCAGCTGCCAGGGATTAGGCATCTCCTGCCTGCCGCTTATCACAAAGATGTAGGAAAGTGGAAATGTTTCACGAGACAGGCAATGCAAAGATGGATTTCAGGGCACCTGTCGGCGGCCAAGATCTCATTGTAATTAACTATCTATACATGCGTAACCATGTGTGTGCATCCCCATGGGACATTATCGCATTGGCAGGATACATGAATCCGATGCCTCATTCATATCCCGTCCAATTCGCGCCTTTCCAAGTTTGAAAATTAAAGACCCCACCATTAATGCTGTGTTACTCCGTGTTGCTTTTAAACAAACATGCAACCCAATCGTGACCGGATTGTTGGTATATCGTGAAGAAGGGAAAAAGAGCCAATGCTCTGGTGGTGGAGATGAGACGCTTATGCGAATACAGCGGCACCGATGGCGAAGACAAGTCCACCGAAGGAGACCATGTTGCCGGCGGCGGCACCAGTGGACTCGGGAGCAGAGGCGCTCTCGGTGGAGCTGCCAGCGACACCAGAGGTAGCGGACTCCTCAGATGAGGCAGTGGAGGAGACGGCAGCGGAGCCAGTAGCAGAGGCAGTGGAGTTACCGCCAACGATGGGGGTGACCATGGAGCCGCTGGGGGCAACGGGAGTAGCAGTGGGGACAACTACAACCGAGGTGACGGAAGCGGTCTCAGTGACAGCGACTGTGAAGATGTTAGCTTCGTACTGGTGTACCAGAGTGACAGGATAACTTACGAGTGGAGGTCATGTCAGCAGCGGAGGAGAGGGCAGAGGTGACACCAGCGGGGACGGAGACGTCAGATGGCGAAGGGAGAGGGACAGCAGAGCCAACAGCGCTGGTGGCAGGGGGAGCCTGAATCTGACCGTCGGAGATCTGAGAGATGGGCTGGACGCTGTACTGAGGAACAGCGGCGACGGCACCAGCCATGATGGCAACGGAGGCGATGGTGAAACGCATGTTGATGATGTGTTGGTGGTGGTTTGGGGTTTTGGGTATTAGAGGCTAAGAAGTACTTGAGTTGAAGATAGCGACTGAATGATCGACTCGTAGATTGGGTGAGTTGAGCGGGTGAATCTGTTTGTGCGTTGAGTGGATGAAGAATCAGAAAGGAGGCCGCAAGCAGATCTATTTATTTGGCTGGGACAGCAGGGCAACACACACGCAAGGCTTGCGGCTGTTGTGTCGCAATGCGGTAGGGGACCCACTCTTACCCAATGGTGCCCTGTGCATTGTGTACGTGGAAAGGGAATTATTGGAGAGGCTTTGCGCCCGTGTGTTTCGACGAGAGTAGAACCACCCAGCCCCAGCGCACAGACTCGAGGCCAATCTGCGATTGGCAGATGGACAAGCATCGTTCCAAGAATTTCAGCCGCCTTCTTCCAAGTTAACCCACTCGAACCGTTGGGCGAGGCTAGTCCCCTGCTGGAGAGGCTGTCACGCTGCTGAATGCCGCCGAGTTGCTTCGTTTTGATTGCCTGGCTGTCTCTCACCATCGCACGACAGCGAACATGGACGCATAACCCGCCACCTGAGCGTTGCAGCTCCAGCCACAAGCAACAGCCACCTCGAAACACGCAACAACACGCAACCAACAGTAAAGACTTTGACTGCCACGCAACCTCTCTCCACTGCAAGTCGCTTGTGTGCACCTTATCGCAACGCCAGCAAACGCCTCCCGCCCAGCGGCCGTGCCACTAGCACCCATAGTGCCAGGGGCAGGTCCGTCACCATTCGATCGGCTGAAGCCTGCCCATCACCAATGTAGATCGCTGCCCGGTACAGGTGGCGGCCCTATGCAGCCCTTGGAATATTGTTGGCAACAGTCTGTCTGCGCATCGCTGTCCGGCTGTGTTTCGTCTGTTCGCCTCTCTTTCCTTGCTTCTTACTATCCTTAGCAACAGCACCCAGAATTGCTACCGAACTTCGGCAGCTGGGTTTCTTTTTTTGCATACCCGTCGTCGTGGGCGACGCGTGTCCCTCTTCGTCGTTTCGCTCTTCGCTAACACGCAATCGATCCATGCCTCTGCAAAAATGTTCCTCTCCTGATGATCCCTTGCTTCAACAGAACGCCACTAACACGAAACCATCGCTGTATCCCCGAAAACCCTAGAATTTGAATGACGCCCATGCAAGCGCAATATATTGAAACAAACAAAATCCAATCTGTACCTACATAGATAGTACACTCAGACATCGGCGCATGCAAGAAAAAGGTTAAAATGCACGGCCAACCCCAGTCCATTCTCCGGACTTCGCAGCAAGGTCCATGCTCGTAATCTCGTTTCGCATGATTTCTTGCCGCTGCCGTGATAACGATTCAAGGGGGAGGAGATCATGACGTCGTTGTCTTCCTTCCCGTCTCGTATTCAACGTTCTGCCCTCACGCTGTCAAACGGTGATGTGGTGCGAATTCGTGGCCGGCGTGACTGCGGGCAGCTCACGATAGAGAAGGCACTGGAGTGCGTAGCGCTTGTGCCGTAGATGTTCGGCGGAAAAAACCGAGAGCTCCAAGAATGTTCCTCCCACCCTGTCTGTCCGACGCTACGACTTGCATCTAGCATGCTGCACTTGCGCAGGTCCGATATGTACAGCTGCAGCAGTACCACACACAACACCCAGACTTTTATGCGGTTCCCAAGCTGCCCTAGTAGCGCCGCGGCCAAAGTCAACCATCTGTCACCGCAAGAACTGTCGGCGCATCATGGAGAAAAAGCGGGTGGGTGATTGTTGCCCCGGCTACCAACCTTCCCAGCTGCTCCTGCCACCATGGCTGACCGCTGAAACGTCCTGTGTGCCGAAATCTAGGAAAGTTACTGGTAAAGTTCTTTTGACCGCGCCACCAGTTGCAGGTACGCGGCTGCCTTTCTGTGGTGCTCGCTCATTGCGAAACCTCAGGCTGTTGATTAGGTTTGCCCGGGGCTAAGCGATGAGGGCTTCTCTGTTAGTCGGATCAATCAACCGCATACGCCTTTTGTGCATAAGACTGGCGTGCATAATATTATGTACGTATGTTGAACCCGGACAACGCAGCTGCACGTTACTGTCCGTAGTCTGCGAAGCTTAGCTATATCGTATTGCTTTTGACCCAGTTCAACAATACATTGACAAGTCTCAGCAACTCAACAACTCACGACAGGAACAGGAAAGGTCTGGATAGATCAAATACTTGTCATAACGATCTTCATTATCTGTGTCATAGTTCAGCCTCTGCGTCGAGCGCGAGACAATGAAAACGCCGTTGTAATGCTATAAAGAACGATAACGCTAACAATTAATTTTTATCTAAATATCGACAATGAACATCTGGTTCATAGCTCCACTAGAGCTGTCCATTCTTCTCCCTCGTAATCTCATCCGCCGAGTCGCTTTCCGACACAGACTTAGGCGCCATCATAGGCTCAGGGCCCTTTGGCGAGCCGGGTGTGGTGCGCTTGAAGTAGTTGTGTACATCAAGGTGGTCGTCTTCGTCAGGGTCAGCACCTTCCCAGCCGTTCTTCTCAGAGAACTTGTGTTGCTGGCGTTCGAGCCACTCTGCGCGCATCTCGGTAATCTTCTGCTCGTAGTCGAGCTTGGCGTCATAATCCTTGTGCTGGCCACGGAAGCGCTCCCACCAGGACAGATGCTTCCAGTGGACGGCAATACCGTGGTAGTCGTGCTCTTTGCCCGCGCGAATGTATGCCCAGCGACGCTCTTGCTCCTTGAGATCCAGACCGGTCGTGTCTGGAAGGAAGAGTAGAGTGAGGAGAGCACCAGCAAGACCAAACCAGGGAACAAAGTAGAACTTGGTCTGAGTACCGATGTAGTTGTACAGGACGGCGGCGAGTAGGGCACCAGCCTTACCGCAAGCAGCACTGAAACCGTGAGCGGTGGCGCGGACCGGTGTAGGGAAGACCTCGGCAGCGACAAGGAAAGTGACACTGTTGGGGCCGAATTGGTTGAAGAATGAGGACAAGAAGTACATGGCTTGGAAACCGTGAATGTTCTCAGGCGACGTGAAGTAGTCCAGAGCGAAACCGGGGATCATAAAGAAAACAAAGTCAGCCAGGAAACCGACGATCATCATCCATTTACGCCCGTAAAGCTTGTTGTCGATGAGCAAGGAAGCGAGGTAGTAGCCACAAAGCGATACACCGACGTTGATCAGGTTATACAGCCAGCCGGTCATGACAGACTTGTTTCCAGGCGTAATAATGCTGATGAATTCGTTCTGGAAAAGCTTGTTGCCGTAGAAGAAAACATCGTTGGCAAACCAAGCGCCGGCAGTAGCCAGAAGACGGGGTCCAAAGTATGTAAAGGTAAGTTTCAAAGACTGAACATCGTAGCCGGTGACGTTCGATTTCTTCTTGGAAAGCGCCAGCTGCCTCGAAGCCGATTTCATCTTGTAGTAACGGAAGTAGACGAGCCAGAGTGTACCGACAGCAGGAATGGCAAAGGAGACACGGTAAGTCCATTGAGCCAAGGTCTTCGAGTACGGGGGGGATGATCCGCCGTGGAAGATGAGGAGCAAGAGGATCAGGATGACCTGATTGAAGAATTGTCCCCAGCCTTGCATCAGGAAAGCACTGGTAACTTTCCTGCCACGGTGAAGACGATCGTCCTTGGTAGAGACCTTTCCGGAGCCGACAGCGTTCTCCATACCAGCAGTCGCAGTCATGGGGTACTCGCCTCCAACACCGATACCGTAGAAGAATAGAGCCCAGACGTAGCAGATGACCCATCCGTTCTGGGTGACACCCCAGGCAGCAGTGAGCATGAGGAGACCGACGAACATGATAACAGCATCTTGGATGAGACCAAAGCGGCGGCCGAGCCAGTCACCAACAATACCAACGAGGATCTGACCAACAATGATACCGCAAATCTCGAGGTAGTCAATAGCCTGCAGCCAAGTTTCATCGCAAATCTCGTGCTTACCCCAGCATGCTGGGAAGGCAGCCTGCAGAAGAGGTCTGACGTTACCAATGGAGAACAGAACGTAACTAGATTCATGTTAGCGAGGACTTGAGCGATGAGATGTTTCGACTTACCCCTCGAGACCAAGACCCATACCAGGAATTACACAGGTTCGGAAGTAGTGACCAAAAGGCGCAAGTGGGTCTTTCTTGAACATGTCCCAGAAGTAGGTTGCTTCGGCTTTCGCTTCAGCTTTGTCGACTTGTCCAACGAACTTGACCCGTTGACCCAGTGGCATGTCTGCCCAGTAGGTGCCGTTGGCATTGTAAAGGTCGTCGGGGTGAAGCAGGGCATGAAACACATTAGACTCGTTCGCGCTCATGTCGTTACGGATGTCAATGTCCTGAGTAGCTTGGTGCTCGCCGGTCATGTTGGGGCCATGGGGTGCGGCAACACCATAATCCCGGAGGGATGGTGGCGTGGGTTCGTGAGAATTCGCCATAGTAGCAACTGTACAACGAGGGCTGGGCCGGACTCGTTGTTATATGCTGATAGTGGAATGGCTGGGAAAAGCGTTGCCCAGAGCCGCGGGTCCTAGGCGAAGCTTATATGCGCTTTGATGCTAATCCGAGGCGGCGGAGTATCCCACGGATATTACAATCGTTTGATGATGTGGGTTGGGCAAGTAATTCCACGCACAATGCAGAACAGTAGCACGTTCGATAGGGTGGCTTCTGAGTGGTCGATGGGATCTGCAAATCGACGCGATGCTAGATGCTAGTAATAGCCGGGCGGTCCGATGACGAACTTTCCGATATGGTATGCACGGATTGGTGATGGACACACGCCTCGAGCTGCTTGTGATGCGTTCTTCTGTTCCAAAGGGCTGCCGCAAAAGTCTGTACGTAGGAATTGAGGGTCAGAGAGGTAGCCGCCCAGGTTCAGCCGAGCGGAAAAGACGAGGCAGAGGCGCACAGGGAGCGCGAACTTGAGTGAACAAAGTTGAGCATTTCGCACAAGCCGAGGAGCTACAGGTTAAATAAGGGTCCAAGGATGCGAAGAAAATTCTAGTGTACAGACCGTCGCTTCCGGCGGGGGCATAACGTTACTGTGGACGCGAGGATACTAGAGGTTTGAAAGCCCCACCCAGTCCGGAAGGAGCTCACGCGACAGCAAATCCCAGCCTTTTCGGCACAAGCAGCACCCTCTAATTGGGCCGAGAGCGACTGCATCTACTTTATTCCTTGCTCTCTGCTCCGCAGTCGCCAATTTTGAGGCTATTGACTCTTCTTGAGCCGTGGACCCCAGATTTATGTCTTTCCCAAGGTACTATTCGTGATGGCTGATGACGTTTTGAAAGCTTCCAGCAAAGCATACCAAGCTTCCAGCAAGCCTTTCAGGGCTTGCACAAGCTCACTAAGCCTACGATCAAGCCTCATTTCAACAGATCAGTTGCTTAGCCCTGCTACGCCATTGACGCATTCCTGCCGCGTTGCCATGAAAGGTCTTTGAAGGATGAAGTTTCAAGGAGCCAATCAGAGCAACCAATTGAGAACGTGGGCGAGATCAGTGGACATCGCGGGGTCCGAAAGTCTGGGCCAAGGCGGGACGTGCACGGCTGCTACGGTGCTTAGCCTCATCCATCCTCGTTCATTCTGCCGAGTATCCACACTTCGTCCGCTGCCATCGTCCCATGTCCCCCTCAACACCACCAATAATGCTGCTACGGTGACATGGTGCTCATTATCTCCGAGTGTGTCAGACCAACAGGGGCCCTGCTTGCTTGTTGCCGTTCAATAAACACATGTCCGAAATCTCTGCTATGCACTGTTGAGGTGGAGCTACAAGTGTAATCCCGAGCTTCGTCTCCGCTCCTTGGACAATCTCGAACAACTGCCACGATGGCGGTATCGGGAGCATAAAGGGGATACTTTGATCCTGCATGACAAGGCCGTCTCTGATCTTGTATTACAAGAACCGAGAAACACGCCTTTGTATCATCGCTCGCTTGATTGCTCTTCATGCCTCGATTTCGCCTACGAGTACTACTCTCCAGGTCTATGTTTGATATCCACTATTTGACCTGACTGAACAAATGGGCCCGGGGGATGTCAGCGGAGAAGCCACGGTAACATCCGACGGCACTGCACGATATCCACACTCCCTCAAAAGGACTCGCCGAGCCGCATGTGGACCAAACACATACCATGACTACACTTGAGCCTAGCGGCAGTTTGAGACGCTCACGATTCATAGATTTCACGTGGAGGGGCTAGTGCTGAGTAATTGATATCAGTAAGTATTAGCTAGGACTATTGAGTCTAGGTATATACATATATATATATTTATACAAGAATGCCATCCAGTGGGTGAGTATTACTAGTGAACTTAATCATGTCGCCGACAAGAGAAGCCACTTTTTCTTATGTGCAACAAAGGTGATAGGCATGAGAAGGCGCTGTATCATTCATGCGCAAAAGACCAAACGCTATGCGAAATTCCAGCAATCTGGAGACGTTCATGCAACACAAGGAAAAATCGTCGCTAGAATCCAAAATGGGTGGAGCCTCAACTCAACCAGTTCTGCCATTGGCACCGGCAGCCGCCAGTCCCACCGTCGATGGGTCCGCTGACAGTTCCTTGTCCCTGCGTGCCTTTGACAAGGTTGCCTCCGAACCCACGGTCTTCAAACTGAAATGACTTCTTCGATTCTTCGTCTTTGATCGACCCATCGTCCTCCATCTCGTAGCAATAGAGGTTCTTTTTGGCTGGATCGCCGCCGTGACGGTCGATGGTGACGGTGACTGGGTACGGAAAGGTGCCTGGCCGCTTGAATACGTTCGAGTTGTCCGAAGTTGAACGCTGCAACAGTGTCTTGCTTTCTTTGCTGCGAGTCCAGATCTGCACCAGAAAACGTGTCTGTGAGTATGTACACCTCAGTTTGGCAGCGTCCTTTGTACTTCCTCCGTCGACATCTGCAGGGTTGCCGCCGCGGTTGGTACCGTTGATTTGCTTCAAGAAGATTGAACGGTCGAAATAGTTGTAGAAGCCATAGTGCTCATCATCTTTACCGCGATTGTATAATCGCAGTGGCTGCGCAGATGGAAAAGGCAACAAGTTTGCAGGCGCAGCAGTTCCATCAGAAGCCAACATCGGTGGTGGGATCACCGCAGTGATGTTCGTTGGGTCGCTCGCATCGGCACGCTTCGTCATTCGCGACACGCTAACGGTGGGATCCTGTATGCTGATGAACAAGCCAGTGTCTTCGCCCTCAAAGGGTGCGGCATTTCCGTCTGTAGTTTGTCCTAGGAAACTCATATCGGTAGTTGATGGAGGCGCGGGAGAGGGCGAAGCTGCGACACGTGCATGCAACAATGACCGAACGAAGGCACCGGCTGAGACTGGATTCATGGCTCTCTTTACGCGTTGAGACTTTGGCAGCTCAGCTGAACTTCCGTTTTCGAAGGTGATTTCGACTTTGAAATTCGGTTGGTCGGGTTTGTTGGGCGCGACGGACTGCTGAAGTTCTTTCGGCAGCGCACAGCTCCACAACGTAGTTGGTGCAACACAACCGCTCTCTTCCTCTACTGCCTCGGGTTGAGCGATGGTCAAGATACCGGTAGGTATGGGAGGGTAGTCTGTGAGGTTGAGCCACTGGCTACCGACGTCCGCGCTCGGTTGAGTCGGCGTTGGCTTGTTGTCATTGTTGTCATTTCCCCTCCTTGTAAGTACTACAACTACGGGGATGATGATTGCCAGTAGTATGAGAAAGATCAGACAACAACAGCAACTCCAGAAACAGATACCTCTTTTCTTTTTCTTCCCCTTCTCAGCACCCTGGGGGTTTGAGCTTCTTTTCTTTCCGAACGGCCAGATACTCATCATATCGCAGACTTTGCGGTGCTTCTTTCCCCCTTTGAGGTTGGGAGAAGAAGCTTGTGAGCTGGAACGGCTGACGTTATCGTAGCTCCAGTGCGAGCTTTTCTGCGCGAACTTGGGTGGCGGAGCAAATACCGGCAAGCTCTGCTGCGAGGTGTTGGCATTTGTGGATGGAGACGCTCCCCTCTTAACTTGCGGTGCTGGCGCTGACGTGTGCAAATGCTGCGAAGGTGGTGGATAATTAGCGCGAACGGAGTAGCTGTCCGCAGTTGGCCGCCTATCTTGCAACTCAATGTTGACGTTGATCTGTCGTGGCTCCTCAACCTGACGAGGCATCAAGACGGTTCCAATAGCCGCTGTACCCACAACTGGGGAAGCCGACATGGTAGAAAGAGGGGATGTGATGCCGCGATGAGATTCAGATGCTGGTTCTGGAGTTGGGTGGAACACCACCTTTTCTGAATCTCTCTGTGATGGGACACTGGAAACTGCAACCGCTGTGTTATCTGGGCCTTTGGTAAGAGGGATCGACTCTTCTCTCTTGCGTGTACCATATTGGAGAGGTACTATCGGCACATCCGGTGTTCTATCGCCATCACGCCCGGGTTCGGTCCATGTCGACGATTTTGGTGTCATGACGAACGGGGTGGTAATGACATTCCACCATCCTTGTGATCGCCGTGGAGTAGGCACCATGGAAGTATCGATAGCCAAAGAGCTCTCTACAGTCCTCTCTCTTAGAGGTGTCTCATCCTCTTCGAATACAGTACTGGTGGACATGATACGATCCTTCCGTTTAGAGTCATCGTCTTCCTCAAAGGCAGTCCCTGCTGAATCTAGGGTGTCGTTCCTGGCGTGACCAACCGCTCCCTGTGTATCTCTGGCAGTATCGGCGCCTGGTGCCTGTGACATACCAGCAGGTAAAGCTGGAACTGGAGGAACGTTGGAGTTCGCAAAGGTCGATTGGTAACGAGAGTAGATGCTGGGCGTGTAATCGGATTCTGTGAAGGGCGTATCTGGAGACCAAACCGACTTTACTGCTGCAGGAGTGATAATAATACTTGGGGTTACAAGAGTAGAGTCACTGCCAGCACGATGCCGACTGGCTTGAAGCGTACTGAAGTCGGAGATGCTGTCAGTCGGGACGGATATTCCAATTGGTATGCGTCGGTCCCAAGGCGAAATCTCCTGCCACGATTTGCTCCCTGGGGTCATGGAAATAGCGGTGTCAGCTTCGCTCCGGTCGATGCTGGGCTTCTTCCGATGTGTAGTGTCTGGTTGAGGTGTACCTTTGGTGATACCTAAGCCCTTGTTCCTGGTCGAAGACCGTCCCAAACCGAACCACGGCGACCTCCGAACAGACCCGGAGCCTCTCTCGGCTCCATGTGGGAATACCTGGTGAGGTTCGGTGCCTCTATGCCTTGTGAAACTCGTATCAACAGTGATGCCAGGTTTCGCCGGCCTTCCCAGAAGCTCTCGCCTCCGACTTTTTTGCCTCGAGACGCGTCCTGCGAAGGATCGCGAGTTCTGTCTTGAAGTTGCTCGCTGTGAGTCAACATGGGTCTCGGTGTCGAAGGTTGATCTGTCCAGGTTCCGACTTTCCTCAAAGCCGTCATTGAAGTGTACCGATATCTGTTCGTCTGAATCGGTATGCGGGTCGTGTGCGTATGCTTCGCCATCCGTTTGGTATGCGGTATTAAATGTTGATCTCGAAAACGACGTAAGTGGTGGCTGCTGGCCGTACATGTCTCTCCTAGTGTAATTCATGGTTGACCTTGTCCGTCCGTGTGTTCCGTCCATGGGCTACCAAGATTGAAGCAGGTGGGGGGACGACACAGCTGTGTCTTCAAAGAAGATCGCCGCGATAATGAATTGTCTCGATATAGGCCTAGTGCTGAAACTGAGACAGTTATGTGGCGGTGCTATTGTTCGTGCTATTGTGTCGATGTGTTGCGGGGCCCGAAATGTATTACGTGACCATAGAAAAACAAAACGAGGAAAACGGCATAAAGCAACAACGAGAACGGAAAAAGAGAGTGATGAAGAGGTACGGAGGACGGTAAAGGCGGATCAAAAGGAGAATGGTGAGGCTCTTGGTCGGACACGCGACCCCAGATCTTTACATGGCCGTCGATGGCCCTGCCGCCTACCAGGCAAACCACTGCCATACCGCATAGTGCATAGCTCCCTCACCTAGACTTTTTACTCTAGCCTCTAATCTGCCAGAACCGCCGGCCACGAACGGATGAGTCAAAGCGTGCTGGTCGCAACAGGCCTTGTCAACGGGTCCCGAGTGAAGGTGATTGGAGCCGCTAGGTGGATCTGCTTCATATCGAGCGCCATGATTCCAGGTTTGAGGCTCAGTAACCGCCCTGGATTCGCTGGGCTGGAAATGTACAACACTATGCAAGATCTGAGACGCTCCAGAGGCATAGCTGGATGTCGTGTCTAGTGAATGTTGAGGTGAGCCAGTCAGAGGAGAGGACGACGTAACTCAAGCGCCAGATCAATCACGGTGGCCACCAATGATTTTTGTGAGAATGGCGCTGCCAAGACAGCGCTAAATGGCCGTCAGTGCGGTCTGTATGCGCCGACGATTCCCCTGTCTACTCTTTGGTGGAGGGTTGTATAAATGTCGTTGGAATGCCCTTCCTGATCGCTTGAGAAGAGAGTCAGTGGTGGCAAGGGCAAACTCACAGAGATTGAGTCAAAGGTGTTGGTCCGCCGAAGCTGCGACCACGCGTTCGCATCTGTCCTATTAAGATATCCATAGACATGCAACCACACTGCAATCAGCCTGTAGTAGCTGAGGAACATCAGAAGCTGCATCTGGAGCTGGTAGGCGTACAATAACAACAACAACTCATGGCCGCTGTTATCAAAGTCATCCGTATACTTGCTAGCGATGTCGGTTCAGCCATCCGAATACGAAGTATTAATATCACTACACGATGCCACAGCTGTCTATCAGCGCCATGCGCTGTCTTCCAGCCCCCATTGAGCGTCACAAACTCGTACATGGAGCATTCAGTACGATAGTGGAATAGTTCAGGCTGAAGGCGAATCAGCATGAAAGTGCGGGCAAGAGACAGGGTGGGGATGTAGGCCAGCACTAGTTCCACTCCTTTTGGGTCTCTTGGCATAGACCCAAGAAGACCCAAGTTTGTCGCCAGCTCCTTTCCGACAACGAAGCCTTGACGAGCTGCAGTATATCGTTTCCAGACTCTCGTTCTGCCCACAGCCAATTGAAGAGACGCGGTTTCGACGTTCCACGGCAGCCTCCCCGACGCTCCCTTGCGCCCCCAGTGCAACCGCCTTGCTCCTGCCGTTCGAGGACTGAGGTACCATCCGCAAGCTGTCCTCAGTAACATCGTCGAACCACGTCGGCAACTGCAGCTGACCGTCTTATCGCCGCGAGCCACACGCCGGCCTCCTTCGTCTTAATCCACGCGCCCCGTTGCACGCCGACAAAGTCACGCTGGCTTCCCAATCCTCCTTCTCCGCTTCCGCTGGCCAACGCAGGAGGCGCTCCTCCGCTGCACGGCAACTGCCGCCGAATAACATCAATCTTCCGGATAGTGCAGAGTCGCGAAGCAGGCTAGGCACAACCAGCGGTCTTCACGGCCGCTCGCTGGGCGAAGCCTTACCCTCGATTCCTGGCACCCCGGGCGCCTTCGAAATGTCAAGATCGCCTTCCCCACAGCCTGGGGGGTGGTCGAGTCCGGGCCTGAATGCTCCAGACTACAATGGCGGGCGCACCAGTCCATATGCGAATGGCTCTTCTTCGCACAATGTCACCTGGGCATCCGCTCAAGCGCGGAGTGCTGAGGTCAAGGGATATCCCGCCTTCACCCCGAGAAACCAAGGTTTCTTTGGCAAGCACTTTCGCAGGATATCCACAAGTCTGCCCTTCAACCACGGCGACAAGGAGAAGCTAGGTCGCGGACGGTCCCAAAACAAAGTCATGCGCTTCCTGAATGCCATAGCCTGGACAGTATGGCGCCTGCGGAAGCGAGTCGCGTTGGTCTTGTTCGTTGTATTTTTCTTCATTTTCTACAATTCAAACACACGTAAGTTGTTATGCTCTCTGACCCCTCGTATGGCAACGGGTATTGACGACTGTAGCCTTACGTCGCATGTACAGACGGTCCGCATGGTTCGGCGGCGGCAGCAAATACGTCGTCATACTGGCAGCGAACCAAGGTGGAGGTGTTATGGAGTGGAAGGGCCCCCGCGAGTGGGCCATCGAACGTGACAGTGTCAAGAACAAGAAGAAGTACACCAAGAACTGGGGCTACGAATTGGAAATTGTCGACATGAGCACCAAGAAGCGTTATGCGCACGAATGGAGAGAAAGCTGGGAGAAGGTTGACACTATTCGCAACGCTATGCGGAAATACCCACATGCTGAATGGTAAGTGTTCGGTGCATATCATGTCCGCAAAGCTAACGTGCGTCAGGTTCTGGTGGCTTGACACGAACACCTTCATCATGGAGCCGACCTACTCTCTCCAAAAGCACGTCTTCAAACAACTACAAGACGTGACATATCGCGACATCAACGTATACAATCCCCTCAACATCACACATCCTCTGACCGACGAATACCTCGACCCCGAAACACGCTCGCCCGTGGGAGATGGCAAGGTCGACTCTGTCAACATGTTGCTACCTCAGGACTGTGGTGGTTTCAACTTGGGCTCCTTCATGGTCAAACGAAGCGTGTGGACCGACAGACTGCTTGACATCTGGTGGGATCCTGTTGGCTACGAACAAAAGCACATGGAGTGGGAGCACAAAGAGCAGGATGCTTTTGAATACATGTACCAGAACCAACCCTGGATTAGGCCCCATGTTGCCTTCATTCAGCAGCGCCAGATTATGAGTTTCCCACCTGGCGCATGTGGCGAGAACGGCGACAACCCCGACATTCACTACCAAGAACAAGATCGTGACTTTTTGGTCAACATGGCTGGCTGCGAGTGGGGTCGCGACTGCTGGGCTGAGATGTACAAGTACCGCCAACTCAGCAACCACCTGAACCGTACACCTTGGGAGAAATTCAAGGACGGTATTTCAGACTTTTTCAAGAGTAGGACTAAGAAAGACGAGAAGAAGGATGAGAAGAAGAAGAACTAGGGCATTCATGAACTAAGGAGAGGCATGGTTTGGATGAACTGGAACGTATTTCTGACATATTTTGGATATCCTATAAGCTTGCGGTTCGGCTTATGATTTTGCTATAATACCCGCACGCATTAGAGGGTGATGTACCGCAACGTGAGGTGGCATGATTTCTGCATGTATCGGAGTCGGTGTTCTGTGTCTGTACCATACGAAATTGACTTTCAGTGAGCTGGTATCGAGACGGACGATGTGCTTGCATTTTTATTCGTAGGAGTACTACTATTGTTGCAAGGTCCCCCCAGTTGTCTACACCAAGCATGTGAGATACTACAGACTTTAGTGGCAATTTGCATGATCAGGAAGAGGCAGATCAGGCCGATGGTGGTGAGCCAGGATGTAAGGTATCTGGGGATGCGGTATCTCTTGTAAAAGGCCCATGTTCCCTTTGCATCCCCACCAAGAACGAGAAGAACAAAACATACGTGGCGCAGCTCGACTCGCTTGACATGCTGGTTAATGACGTGATAGATGGCGTGTTGTAAACAAGCCTCGAGGTAAGTGGAGTAATGTTGTATCTGAACGAGCATTCGTATGATCCTGCGTCGTACGGATAGACAATGGTACACGACCATGTCTTGCAGACGACAGACCACAAGGTAGATAAGCTCAGAAGATACATGCGCATGTCTTGTACAAGGGCAGGTGAGCACGTCTAGACTCGCCAGCCTCAGACAGAAAGGGAGTGAGCGAGGCCTGATTCGTCCATTTCCCACACCCATCGCCAATGGTCATACGCCAGCGAGCACACGGGACACGGGGCCAGGAACGAACATTTGTCTACTTTCCTCATCTGCAACCCCGAGATAGCCTTCTTACACCGACTTGTCTGTCTTCCTCCTCCATCTCTCGCTTTCGGTCGTGTTCCTTCGTACCCCGCCCAGCGCGACAACCCCGATCTGCGCTTCTCTCCCTTCCCCAGAAACGTCATCACGCCTAGACCCTGGCCGTGCGCAAGTTGGGGAGCCAGTCTACATAGCGTCAGCTCGCTCGCGGCCTTAGTCTTATCTCCAACTGCGGCTCGCAGCGACCCAGCGACAGGATCGGGTCGGCTTTCAGTTCCACTTCCTGTTTCTGGGCGCCGATAAGCTGTTTCAGAGCTGCGCTGGTCTTTCTTGCTTCCATCAGGATTCTTCAGCATCGCCAGTCCAAACAAAGAACCGAAGTCGGAACGGCCCTTGGGCTCCACTTGAGCGCATACTCCCCACGTCCGGTCAACCTAGGGTCCGAAGATATAAGGACTATCGCCAAAGGTCCAAGATTGTAGCGCTCTTGTTACGACTCGAGTTTCCGAGGTCAGGGTGCGATGCATGATCATCGTCCACCACGAGCAGGCAGACAAACTATAGGAGCCGAAGATACGCACCATCAGGAACAAGCCATGCCTCCGTCGCGCCATATCGCTTCGTCCTCGAGGCAGCGCTCAGAAGGTATGATCCATCCCGTTTCCTACCTACATGCATCTGTCTATTGAGTATGAGCTTACGTGGCTTATAGAATCATGGATCGATCTCGCATCGGCGCCTTCTTCAACCTCCCTATCGTCTGCGACCGACGAGATCATCACAACAGGACTCACGGTACAGCACGACTCCAACGCGCACAGGCGGCAGAACAGACGCTCACGAGGTGGCGGTCAGTTCTCCATAGGAACTGGGCACAGGGTCACGGCAGGAGGCAATAGTAGCCAGGAGGAGTATGAAGAGAGTGAAAGCGAGTCGGATAGGGTCATGACATCTTCCAACGAGGCCATCGGCCCATCACCCCTGAGACATCCACAGTCTGTTGCGTCTTCAGAGACTATGTCTGAGAGGGAGGATGACGACGACGATGAGAACGCGACGGCCGTCAACTATCCACGTTCCTCGAGGCGAGAGTTTCAGCCACGACCGAACGCCTTTTCCCACCCGAACAACCAACAAGCCATCCGATCGCAGTCTGGCACTTTGTACACGCCTCGCAGGAACGTGAGGCCAGCAGGACAACGACAGCACTCGTACCCACAGCACCATCCTTATAATGCCATCGCCCCCAATTATCAGCCCGATCATGACGAGGCCCTCCGTGCTAGCCTGTCTACTTTGCTCTCCGCTGCCGCTGCTGTGCGAGGTCTCCCGAAGCCGGGTCAACCACGCACGAACCCTCCCTCATCCACTCGGGTTGATCCGAACTCCCTCCGCATGGTCCCAGAATCTGTAGCGCTGGGCAACATATCCGAGGAGACGGCATCATCTCCATGCAGTACTAGCAGCAGTCCTTCAGAGAAGCCTAAGCGCAAAGTGAGTCCGCCAGTAGCTGGTGTGCGTAGCAGTAGCAAAGACCGCCGCATTGCCAAGAAAGCACGCAAGACAAGCCCGATGATGATCGAGGAGATCAGTCCGACCCTGCTTACCTGGGTTGTTAGCGCTGGCGTCGTGGTCCTTGTCAGTGCCATCGGCTTCTCGGCTGGTTATGTCGTGGGCAAGGAGGCAGGCCATGCTGAGGCTATGGGTCAGATCGGTGCAGCAGGTTCCGAGGCCGGACGCTGTGGTAAAGAAGCAGCTGCAGGCATCAAAGGCACTGGCCTAGGTCTGCGGAAGCTACGATGGGGTTCTGGAGCGGGCATTCGCGTCTAAATAACTTACGATGACAACGGTCACGATGATATGCATGGTTTTTGGCGAACACGAATTTGCAAGTACTGGGGCGTTATATCTCGTTGCATATTGATATCACCCGGCATGGCGTTGATTTGGCGCTGCTCGGTCTGAATTTTACTATATCTAGGGATCGTGGCTACGACGCCTTGGAAGGAAAGTGGTAGGTTACTTGGTGCTATTGAACGCACATGTAATGTAGCAGTCATGTTGGTCTGCTAGGTACAGACGCATATATAGACTCAATCAATCCGTTTATTCTTGTAGTATGGTATTATTGTTGATTTGTGGTTGAGTACCCCATCCACACTCTGGAAGACGATGCCGGAGAAAGGTTCCCAGTAGAGTATCAATCGTCTGCGAGATAAGAACGAGCTTTGATAAGAGCGCGAAGGACTATTCAACGGCGTGACACTTTTTACAACACGTAATAAGACACAACATTTGCAAGCGCCAGCGGAATAGAGTAGAACTATACGTATACTTGAGTACCTAGCCACATGAGCGGTAAACTTTTCAAGCAAACTGAAAGTAAAAGGAAGTGACACTACTCCGCTGACCTACCGATACAGTTGGTCATGAGCTGGAAACGCTATACACATGAGAACATAATCTTCATCCTGATCCTTCCTTTCCTAGATCTTGACCCGACCTGACCCTACATTTGGGTATATCTCCTGTAATAAATACTTCTTTTCTCGGCAAGATACCGAACCCTATCCCAATAGATTACACCCGTCTACAATGGTCGACCGCCAACGAAGTCGCTCCATGACCTGACTTCACTGGGGATACCTTCCTTCTTGGGCAGCTTCTCGCTCATACATTGGGCGAACAGAACGGCAGTCTACATTGACGTTAGCTTTTCAAATCATTGACGACGGGTTTCGTCGACTCACCTTGGGCTCCATGAATAGCGGTACACCAAAGTCGACTGCGTTCCTCCTCATTACGTAGTCCTCGTCGAACAGACCGCTCGCCCTGTACTTGGCCAAGTTGAAGCAGCCACGGATGTCGTTCTTCTCGAACACCTCACGGAGCTTCCTCTTGTCATCCTTGGGGAACTCAATGACCTCAACACTAATACCTTCGGTGTTTTTCTCCAGAAGTTCCTTTACGTCCTTGTTGGCAGCAAGGAATCTGTAGCCTAGTGCGTGTACGTACTTGGCGATCTGAATAAGAGAGTTGGAGTGGAGCGAACCAGGTGTGACATCACCACCGAAAAGAAGACCCTCACCGGGCTGGGGAAGGCGGAAGTTCATCTGTGACTGTGCGGAAGCCCAGTAGGCCTCAACGAGGTCCTTACCGAAGCAGGCCATTTCACCAGTGGATGACATTTCAACGCCAAGGTAGGGGTCAGCGCCCGCTAGCCTAGTCCAGGAGAACTGGGGAACCTTGGTGGCGAGGTAGTTCCTCTCGACGCTCATGAGGTCAGTCGGTTCGGGCACGTCGCGACCAACGAGAGCCTTAGTCGCAACTTCAATGAAGTTGGTACCAAGGACCTTGCTGACGAAGGGGAAGGATCGAGAGGCACGTAGGTTGCACTCAATGACCTTGAGGTTGGGCTCGGAGCCCTCAACCTCCTCCTTGATGATCTGCATGTTGAAGGGACCAGTGATGTTCCAAGCCTTGGCAACCTTGTCCGCGATCTCCTTGACACGCTCTTGGATGCGCTTGTCGAGGTTGACAGGGGGAAGCACCAAGGTCGCGTCTCCGGAGTGAACACCGGCGTTCTCGACGTGCTCACTGACAGCGTGGACAAGGACGTTTCCGTTGGAAGCAACAGCGTCGCAGTCGATCTCTTGGGCGCCGTCGATAAACTGAGTGATGACGACTGGGTGGTCGGGCGAGACGTTAGAAGCAGCAAGAAGCTTCTCCTTCAGCTCATCCTCACCGCGGATGACAGTCATGGCAGCACCTGACAGGACATACGATGGGCGAACAAGAACTGGGTAGCCAACAGAGTTTGCGAACTTCTTCGCATCCTCGTATGAGGTAAGCTCCTTCCAGGCGGGCTGGTCAACACCGATTGAGTCCAAGATGGAAGAGAACTTGTGGCGATCTTCGGCCTTGTCGATATCCTACAGATGTGGAGATGCGAAGTCAGTGTATGTCTCATATGTATTTCGTACAGTCATAACATACCTGAGGATCAGTTCCAAGGACCTTGGCCTTTCCAGACTCTTGAAGCTTAAGAGCAATGTTCTGAGGGAGTTGACCACCGACAGAAACAACAACTCCGCTAGCAGTCTCCAATTCGTAGATATCCATGACACGCTCGTAGCTAAGCTCCTCGAAGTACAGCTTGTCGGCAACGTCGAAGTCGGTCTGAACACATGTCAGTCAAGATTCAGTGGAGGCATTGATGCTACTTACAGAGTATGTCTCAGGGTTGTAGTTGATCATGACAGTCTTCTTTCCGAGGGCGTTGAGGGAGCGGGTAGCGTTGACAGCACACCAATCGAATTCGACTGAGCTTCCGATCCTGTAAACACCGCTTCCAAGGACAAGAACGCCATGGTCGTCGAAGGTGACGTCGTGAGACGAGGCGTTGTAGGTTGTCTAAGACTATATGTTAGCGACTACAAGGGAGCCAAAAGAGATTACCACAATGGCAATACAAGGCCCTGGAGGTTGTCGCAGGTCCCGGGATTTTGAATATCGATTCCGCGAGAGCTCTCAGGCCTTGCAGAACCGCCGTAAAGAAGAATATACTCACGTAAAGATAGTTAGTGTCCGCCGGGAACTCAGCAGCCAGAGTATCGATCTTCTTGACCCACGGCTTTATGCCGAAGCTCTTCCTGCGTGCGCGGACCTCGTCTTCAGTGCTGTTGACAGCCTTGGCGATCTGCTTGTCAGAGAAACCGAGCTTCTTGGCCTTGAGGATAATCTCCTTCTTGAGTCCGAACAAGCTACCTATCTCCTCAAGCTCATGTGTGAGGTCGACGATGTTCTGAAGCTTATGCAAGAACCACTTGTCAATCTTAGTAAGGTCATGGACCCTGTCGACAGTGTAGCCTTCGTGGAACAGCGCCTGACCAACGGCAAGCCATCGGCGATCGGTGGGGTTCTTGAGTTCCTCGTCAAGGTTCTCTCCGTACTTCTCGCCCTGGAAACCAAGGTACTTGGGGTCGACTTGACGGCAAGCCTTCTGGAATGACTCCTCGAATGTGCGACCGATGGCCATAACCTCACCGACTGACTTCATGGAACTGCCGATGTCGCGCTTGACGTTCTGGAACTTGCTAAGATCCCATCGAGGCATCTTGGTGACGACGTAATCCAAAGAGGGTTCAAAGTTTGCAGTGGTGGTCTTAGTGACGGCGTTGGGCAGCTCGGGAAGGGTGTGTCCGAGACCGATCTTTGCTGCAGTGTATGCCAGAGGGTATCCAGTTGCCTTGGATGCCAATGCAGATGAACGAGAGAGACGGGCGTTGACTTCGATGACCCTGTAGTCGAGGCCATCAGGCTGTAGGCAGTATTGCACATTGCATTCGCCAACAACTCCCAAATGACGGACGATCTTGATGGACGCAGACCGGAGCATGTGGTATTCCTCGTCGCTGAATGTCTGACTTGGCGAGACAACGATACTGTCACCAGTGTGTACACCAAGAGGATCGAAGTTCTCCATGTTGCAGACTGTGATGCAGTTGTCGCTGGCGTCACGGACGACCTCATACTCGGCCTCCTTCCAGCCCTTGAGAGACTTCTCAACCAAGATTTGAGGTGACAGTGTGAGCGAACGGGCTGACAGATTCTTCAGCTCCTCCGGGTTGTTTGCGAAACCAGAACCGAGACCACCGAGCGCATACGCGGCGCGAACGATGATAGGGTATCCGACCTTCTCGGCCGCGTCGAGTGCTTCGTCGACAGTGGAAACAGCAATCGACTTGGCGATGGGAATATTGATCTCATCAAGAGCGCGCGCGAAGAGATCACGGTCCTCGCTGGTCTTCAGAGTCTGAACGCTAGTTCCGAGCACCTTGACACCATACTTTTCGAAAATGCCCTTGGCATCCATTTGTACACCCAAGTTCAGCGCAGTCTGTCCACCGAAGCTGAGGAAAATGCCATCAGGCTTCTCCTTCTGAATGACATATTCGGCGTATTCGGGTGTTACAGGCAAGTAGTAAATTTCGTCGGCGAGCACGTGGGACGTTTGGATGGTAGCAATATTGGGGTTGAGAAGGACGGACTTGACGCCAGCTTCCTTGAGGGCCTTGAGTGCTTGTGAACCTGATGAATGGTAAGTATGGCACAAATTTACGTGGGCACGAGTGCTTACCTGAGTAGTCAAACTCTCCGGCTTGACCAATGCTGAGACCACCACTACCAATGACAAGGACTTTCTTGACATCAACAAGGTCCTGCGCGCCGGAAATGACGCCGCTCTTCAGGTATGCCTCTGCATTAGGTGCGGTCTGTGTCTTGTTAAATGCGGACGCGACCTTTGTGAATGCCCGCAGCTGTCGGAGAGCGGCAGGTGACTCAGTGCTGGAGCGGAGCGAAGTCAACGGCCGAGCACTTCGGGTTGTGAAACTTCGAGAGTATGTAGAAGGTGCAATAGAGCGAGTGTGACCTGTAAGGGAAGGTACGCGACGTGCTAGACGCCCGCAGAGAGCCATTTGCAGGCAGTCAAGCAATTGGAGAGCGTCGAGCGCGACAAAAGATGGAGATGGAGGATGAGGCGTCGAACGCGCGGGAAGAAGGTCGCTCGGTGGCCGACAGGTGCAATTGAAGGGCTATAGCTCGACCCAGTTGAGCAGAGCACGAATGACTCCCTCAGGGTTTATGTATAATCTGTGGGGAAGCTGTGATGCGGCAGCCAAAAAATTCCAATGATGCGCGACGGGCCAATCAAGCTATCTCCGATAACGCACAGATAAGACCGTCGGCGATCCTTGAAGACGCGATGGATGAAGGGTAGGATCCAGTCATTTGCATTTACACTCGCTCTTATACAATGCATTTCTCATGATTTGACTCACGCAAGACGTGCGATCCAGTCATGGGTAGGTCCGATGCAGTTGAAACATTCACAGTTGTTTCCATCTCGTCGTGGAGAACTTCGATGCGGAGGACCGATTACGGCGCCGAAACTCAGATCCCCAGCATCTGACACAAATGAGAAGAAATTTTGACATGGTCGCGCAGAGCTTTCTCAATGGGTACAGTCACACGGGAGCTAACTATTGCATCTGTGCGCTGCGGGTACCAGGGCATTACTACTTTCAGTACCGTGTGCACCTTTTTAGTAGTCATAAATCCCTTTGAGGACTCGCAACATGAATCGCGACTCTCACACATTCACATTCGGTCGAAGAGCCAGTCGACGACCTGTACACGGGCGGATGCTTGCTTTGCAGTCACTATATTCAAGTACCCCGAAGATGCCAATAATCATAAATGTCAATACGCTAATTCGCTTTGTGGGGTCTTCGGACCGTTGGTGACTCTTCATAGCTTGGTCCGGCACGATGAACAAGGCTGGCGCTTTCTTGCCTCGATCGCAGCACTTGTCTGCTTCTGCACATGAGCAGCGGTCTGGCAGCTCCTCTCGCCGAACTTCTTCATCCAGCCTTCTTTGCCTTGTCCGCTGCGTTATGTCGATTTTTGTATTCGCGCGGGCTCTCCAGTGTCTTACTGCTTGTGCCTACCAACCTTTGCGCAAAGCTCGGCTTCGCCCACATCCCAACTTTGCTCTCACGAGCCTTCTTTTCCGCAGCGCGATACTTTTCTTCAGCAGTACCAAATTCGGCACCTGTTTTGGCCTCGTATACTGTAGCCAGGCCAGCCCTCAACATCTCCAGCCCCACGTCTTTCTTGAAGAACCATCTGCGTACAAAGACTTGGGCTACTATACGATCGTACTGGTCGCGTCTGTATATGTATGCGCGTACTCGGCGGGTGTGGATCAAATTGATGAGCCATCCATGGGCCTCCTTCGCGAACGGCTGAGCTTCTCGGCCCCAGTGTGCAAGTTCTGGTGCGTCGACTCCAGCAATCCGGATGTGAAGCTGGGCATAAAGTCAGCCATTAATTGGATGCAATATTTCCACCACAACGCCTAGTGTCTTCTTATTCTAAAGTACTTACTGTTTGCCTGACCAAGTCCTCTCTTTTCGATGGTACTTTCTTCCAGGGCAGGATACCCCACCCAGCTATTCTCCCACCTGGCGTGTGGAACAGCCTGAAATTGTCTGCATCTCCTACACTTGTGACCTGGCCAAATATACCCTTCCGACGGTAGTAGCGTGGTTTGATATGATTGACGGTTGGTATGCGACGCAAATAAGTCTTGTAGAGCCGGACACCAGCAACTGTTGAGACTGTAAGAGCGACCGCCGGAATCAAAGTCCGTGGCTCATACAGCGTGCTTGACCAATTGTCCAACTTCGCTGGAGGGGCCCATTGAGGCAGTCCGCTTTCCTGTTGGTCATCGTCGTTGCGTGACCAAGGCCATCGCATTGTCTATTGTGCGAGGTCGTGAGTTGAAAAAGTGAAGTCAAAAGACGGTGTGCTCCAATGTTGGTAATAGGTGCGACACAATCGCCTCGGCATACGAAGTGTTCCAAGTTAGCGTCGACAACACGTACCACGTGATTATCATAGGTTATCTAGGGTTTCATAATCATGTCTCACGACTCTGAACGACTTGGGGGGCAAATGTACACTCGATATTTTTGTAATGACTTATACGGTTTTTCAGTAACCTTGGAAAATGACAGGTATTCAAGGTCCAAAATGCTCAGCTAGCCTTTAAACAAGAGCTGCAAAACTGTGGTGTGCCACAGTAGTCACATACTCTCCTCTAGGCACATATGCTTGTTCTAATATCGTATGTTCTAAATCACTAGAGAGGCAACCAGGAGTTGTGCTAGGAAGGTCCAACTGCCCTGAGTTGTTGTGGAGCGCCTATCGTCGGCCTCGAAGTATGCCATCCGCGTTAGAGACCATCATGATCCATATGACACCCTTCTGGGTGTGCATTGGTCGACACATAGATCTACAAACAAGCAGATGGCGTCTTCGATGGTATCTTTGTAGCCTATAGCGCGCTGAAGAGCGTTGAAATGTGATATTGAAAAGTCGAAGGATAGCGACTCGCATAGACGGTGTAGATGTTGAGTTTCGGTGAATACGTGCGATGCAGTCGCATTTCCGACTTCAGATTGGGAGAGGCTTGCGCAGGAGTTTATGCAGATAGATGGCTTCTGAGATCCTGTGTGTCTTTATCAGTCCTGATCTAACCAAAGTGATATATGCATATCGAAGATGAACCTACCGTATGCTACTATCCGTCCTCATGTGTCTTTCTGTCAGCTGCACAGTTCGCTGCGGCAGATGAACCTTACCTCACAACGCGCAATACCATGAATGAAGATATGTGCTACACAATCGAGAGCCCAAAGCCATGCTACGAGACTGCCGACGCAGCAAGAGGAGAGAATGCGTATGCCTCGCACGACGCACAGACCTACATGAAAGGCCTTTGAGATGGAGACGTGGGTGGTCTCGAGCTGGTCATCGCAATGGGTTGTAGTAATGCTCGCTTCCGTAAGAGCGGGGTCGGCTTGCAGATGTCGGCGCTTCCTAGATGCCAAGCTACACATTAACAATAAGATCTTTGTACGCGCCCGCCATCGCCATGATGGATGGAAGATGGATGCTCAGACGTGGTCGGGAGAGGGATGAAGTCAGGAACGACGGGGTTGGCTTAGACGGAGTTTGCCTAGGCGGGTATGGTGCGTTTCTTTTCGTGCCTCGACCTCCACAAGTCTGGGCATCAGTCTATCGTCTACCTGCACCCTGCCACCCCCATCGCTACAACTTCAACCGAAACCTCTCGTGCTTTCGCAACAAATTTCGCTCGTTATACATACTGACAATCTTAGTGGAATTGTGGCCGACTATTGACTGCGGCCTGTAGCCGCTTCCTTGTCAGGTGCCTCCCATCTTCCCTCACCACATCTCCATCAACATGTTCAACATCGAATCCACAGCCGATCCTACCGCACTCGATGACGGAACCTACCTCTTCGACCAAACTCACGATGATCTCCTATCGATGCCAATGTCCAATGATAGTATACATCTGAAAGGCGGCATCACACCTATACCTGGGTTTAGTAACTTGGGCTACGGCCGGGAATCGAGTGCATCGTCCGTGCACTACGGCGATTCTCACGATACATCGGAACTGGGTACAAGTCACGAGGGAGAAGGGTCTACCCCAAGCGCTTTCGTTAATGGATATGGGACCAACTATACTCCTTCGCCACTGCAAAAACCATTCACACCAAACTCAGCCATCAACGGCATGACTAATACTCAGAACAAACAAATATCGCATTTGAACGACGACAATTCGCATGCGATTCCTAACGGAAACGACGCGAAACCCCATCTATCATTAAGGAATCATCGAGGGGATGCTGCATTCATGGCAAGAACACCACAAAGCCTGAGTCGCGCATCACAATCATCTTCAACTCCTGAGCTCCCACAGCCGCACGAGCAACAGAAGAAGCATCGGAGAACAAATTCGCTCCCGGTAAAAGGGAAAGTCAACGAGATGAAGGCAAATTCAAGCATACCTGCAGAGCTCTCGTGGCCGGAGTTTGGCCGACAGTGCATTCTAGCAGCGGAGAACAGCCGGCTGAATCCGTTCACCTTACATCCTGCTGAGTACAAGCTGTTACGAGAACATGTAACTCACGCCCAGGTCACCATTTATCTGAACATCAGGAATGCGATACTTCGGCTATGGCATCGCAATCCTCTGGTGTATGTCTCTTTCGAAGAAGCTGCAGGATGCGCCCGCGACAAGCGCCATTTCGGTCTAGCGAGGATAGCATATCTATGGCTTATGCGGAACGGCTATATCAATTTCGGATGTGCTGAAGTACCTGACACTACCGGTACACTCCCAAAATCGAAGGTCAAAGTCGCACGCAGACGTTCAATCATCGTGGTCGGTGCAGGTATGTCAGGATTAGGATGCGCTCGCCATCTGGAAGGATTGTTCGCCCAGCTAGGTGATCAATTAACAGAAGCGGGCGAACTTCCACCGAAGATCACAATACTAGAAGCTCGTCCGCGTGTTGGTGGCCGGGTTTACTCGCATCCTTTTCTCAATCAGCTCAGCTCAACGCTCCCTCCTGGACATCGTTGTACAGCTGAGATGGGCGCCCAGATCGTCACCGGATTCGAGCACGGCAACCCGTTGAACGCGATCATCCGAGGTCAGCTCGGTATACCCTACCATGGCCTCCGCGATAATACTATACTATACGACTACGATGGGACAGTGGTGGAGAGAAGCCAGGACATCCTGGTTGAGAAGCTGTACAATGATGTCTTGGAAAGAGCGGCAGTATATCGGAACAAGCCAGCGGCTCGTAGGACAGTGGAGGGTGATCGTAATTTGATGGCCTTTGGTCGTGAGCCAGCCGATGTCGACGGGCCTACCGTTGCTGAGCTAGAACACTCTGATGCTCCTTTGGTCGCGAATGCTACGAGCACAGCGTCAACGAAGCAAGAAAAACCAACAACGGGGGTAGAGAAGCTAGCGGGCAGGGCATATCAGCTCAGCGCAGGCTTCAACCCGGATGTTACGGCAGCTCAAACGGTCCAAAGTATGGGTTGGGAGCTCAAAGCGGGTGCATCAAAGATGCAGTCTTTAGATCTCGATACGATTGCGAGAGCATCCGAGTATCCCACACTTGGACAGACAATGGACGAAGGTCTCCTTCAGTATCAATCACTGGTTGACCTCAAGCCTAGAGACATGCGTTTGTTGAGTTGGCATCACGCCAATCTCGAATATGCGAATGCTGTCAGCGTCAACCAGCTTAGCTTAAGCGGCTGGGATCAGGATATTGGCAATGAATTCGAGGGCGAACATAGTGAAGTAATAGGAGGCTATCAACAAGTCCCGCGCGGTCTATGGCAATGTCCCAATCGATTGGATGTCCGCTTTAGCACCCCCATCAAAGCCGTTCATTACAATACCGACGATCAGCATAAAGGCAAAGCTGTTAGGATTGAGTGCGCAAATGGCGAGTTTTATGAGGCCGACCAGGTCGTTCTGACCACCCCTCTGGGAGTGCTGAAGTCCGGATCGATCAAGTTCGAACCTCCTCTCCCTGACTGGAAGCAGGACGTTATCGAACGAATGGGTTTTGGTCTCCTCAACAAGGTCAGTTCGACTGTTCAGTCATTGCGGCCCCTTCTGACAATATATGTAGATTGTTCTGGTGTACGAAAAAGCCTTCTGGGAGCCAGACCGAGACATGTTCGGCCTGCTCAACAAAGCAGAAGACGAAGCCAGCATGCGACCCGAAGACTACTCTGCCAAACGTGGAAGGTTCTATCTCTTCTGGAACTGTATAAAGACGAGCGGAAAGCCAGTGCTGATAGCGCTAATGGCAGGCGACGCTGCTCACTACGCCGAAGCGACATCGAACGATCAGCTCGTCAAAGAGGTTACGGACCGGCTCGATGCGATGTTCGCACCGAACCACGTTCCTCTGCCGTCAGAAGCGATTGTAACGCGGTGGAAGAGAGACCCATTTGCTCGAGGCAGCTACTCATATGTTGGGCCAAAGACACAGGCAGGCGACTACGATGTGATGGCGCGACCACATGGCCCACTGCACTTTGCGGGTGAAGCGACTTGTGGCACACATCCCGCAACGGTGCACGGCGCGTACCTGTCAGGCCTCCGGGTCGCTGCAGAGGTTGCTGAGACAATTTTGGGGCCCATCAAGATACCAAGTCCACTGGTTGAGAAGAAGGTGATCAAAGTAGAACAATCTCCAGCGACACCCAGCATAGAGACGAAGCGCCGATTCGAGCCCGCCGTTACAACATCAACACTAAGAGAGGACAAACCTGGGCGGGTACAACGCGACGAAGACTACGAAGCTGCTATCATAGGGGCTATTCTAGACCAAATTGGTGAACGTCCAATCAAGCCAGGACGTACAGGTGTCAACCCCTTCCTACTGTTCACCAAAGACTTCTGGTACATCTGCAAGCAGGAGTGCGATGACGCTCACAAAGCGAGGACAGGCAACCCCGAGGCCAAAGCACCGAAACAGGAGATTCGTAATGCAGTTGGCTTGAGGTGGCGCACAGCAGAGCAAGAAGTCAAACAGCCGTACCTGGACCAAGCCAGTACTGCACGAGACGATGCGACGGCGAGCACAGCAGACTTTAAAGAACGCGTAGATACGTGGGACAAGGAAGCTGCACGCATACGGCGCGAGTACATTCAGGCCAATCCTCCAGAGGGTGGCAACGAAGAGCTCATTCTCAACAGTCGCACGGCCATTGAGCTGGGGGCTGGCAAGCGACTGCGGAGATTATGAGGCTGCTGTTGTGGCGACATTCTTTTGTTGCATTCATTCATGTGTTATATCCGTATGCTGGGCGCCATATCCCCAGTGTTTGTGTAGTTTTTTTTTTCTTTCTATGGCTTGCATGGAAGCTGCGATGGAGTTCGGGTAAAAGGGTGAATGAGAGGTCGCGTGGCTATTTGCAGCGGCAGGCAGGCGCACACGAACACATACCCGCCCTCCGAGGCTTTTCTGTAGAGCGATGGCGTCTCGCGGATATCTGCTTTCTGTAGTATGTCTCGGACAGTAATACAAGTCTAGTGGATAATGTCACGCGTGACTTGGGCCTTGCCCAGCGCTACTTGGGACACACTCTTGTCCGGACCCACCACGCTGACGCGCTGTCCGAGATGCAAGCCACATGCGGGGGATGTGTGCCGTGCGTGCAGCGTAATACGGGAAGGTGCCCGCTGGTCGAGAGGGGCTTGAGATTTGGAAGCCAGCAGATGTGAGGTGGAGCTGGCGAGCAGCAGAAGAGATTTGCTGGCGGACAGTAGCTGTCGTGGTGCTCTGGACTCGCACAGTGCATGTCACAACCACAATGCGGGAAGACGCTAGAAGACGTTCGTCCGTTCTCCAATGGCGATCTCTACGAGGGCCGCCAACAAGCGCCGCGGTTGCTTGCCAGTCTTGTTCTAGAAGCGCGGCGCATGACTGGTGGGAGTTTAGCCTCGCCGCAGCAGCAGCATGCATGGCGGTTGAGCGTGTTGTTGCTCGCCAGGCACCGGGCTGGCTGGGCACAGAGTCGGGAAGCGTGTGCTGCTCAGCATGGCCGCCAGATCATGGAATGGCGAGTGTTGTTCTATGCATGTTCTTCGGTATAGAGCCCCACCAGGCGGGCAACACAATTCGCCAGCAATGGATGGAACCTGTGGCTTCGGCGCGTTAGTCCCGAGCGGTTCCTCGTTGGCGGGGTCGCGTGTGCCAGGTCGTGGGGATCTCTCGGCCTCTCTCATGGGGCCTCTAGTCGCGTTAGCTATCCCAAACAGCAAAGCCTCGCCTCGCCTTGGTCCGCTCCGGCTCTGCTTCCCCAACGTGCCAGCCTTCCAAGCCGCTGTTGCGTGAATTGCTGCATCCTTCACTCCTCCAAGCTCGCAAAGGCCTCCATGTTGCCCTTCGCTCCTGACATCTCTCTGGGCCCGCACCCAGCACCTGCTTCCCCGACACGTTCCCACGACCGTGCCCCCGTCGCCTGAAGTGCCGTCGCATTAGTCCTCCTCCATCGTCTGCACCCCACCCTTCCCTGCTTGCGCACTACACCCCAGCCATGAGTTCCTTTTTCAGTCGCATCAAGTCTGGTGCTGTAAGTCTCCAAGAGCGACCCAGAGTCGCGCGCGCCCGTCGCCAATGGCTGCCACTGACACGTCTGTCCACAGCCACCCTTGAGCCCAGCGACCGGCAGCATACCCGTCAAGAAGGACCCCAACGCGCCCGAGGTCACGCCGCTCGAGAAGCTGCTCCTCAACGCCGGCCCTCTGCGCGGCGACGGCAGCGACAAGTTCTTCGGCTTCGAGAATGTAAGTCCGCCTGCCTGATGCCGCACTCGTCAAAGTCCGCCTGCTGACCATGCCCTGCTCTAGTTTGGAAGCACGTGGTATGCATCCGCCTCGCCCACTCCCGCTTCAACCCATGCTGACTGACTGTCTGCCCACCAGCTACTGCAACTCCATAGTACAGTGTCTCTACTACTCGGTTCCCTTCCGAGAACAGGTCATCAACTTCCCCGCCCGCTCGCCCCCAGAAGCCCTCGAGAGGCCCTCATCAGGCCTGCCCAGACTCAATACAAACCTCCAAAATGGCCAGACTTCAGCCCTCTCCCCCACGGGCCGCACATCGCTCTCCAGCCCAAATGCGAGAAGTCCCGCAAAGCCTGCAACCACGCCAGGCGCCACCAACCAGCCTCCAGGCACCAAGCCCGAGGACAACAAGGACTCGCCCGAGTACAAGAAGAAGCAGGCCTTGGCCGCTGGCCCTGTGCTGCAGATGGACTACGAGAACGCAAACGCATACGGCATGAACGAATCGCTGTTTTCATCACTAAAAGACATATTCGAAGCTGTAATAGCACACAGGTCGCGCATAGGCGTAGTCAGCCCACACAAGCTTCTGGAGATACTGCGGCGAGACAATGAGATGTTCCGGACGCCCATGCACCAGGACGCACACGAGTTTCTCAACTTACTGCTCAACGAAGTTGTAGAGAACGTTGAGCATTACTCCAAGACACGCCCAGCCCAGGTCGAGGACGTGACTGAGAACGAGGAGACAATGACCGATGGCGAAGTTGTGACCGCGCGAAACTCAGTAGCCTCTGCAAAGTCGAATTCTGGATGGGTACATGAACTGTTCGAAGGCACATTAACATCCGAGACACGATGTCTCACATGCGAAAATACCTCGCAGCGAGACGAGGCATTCCTGGACCTCTCTGTCGATCTGGAACAGCATTCGTCCGTGACGAGCTGTTTGCGCAAGTTCTCAGAAGAAGAGATGTTATGTGAGCGGAACAAATTCCATTGCGACAACTGCGGAGGCCTGCAAGAGGCGGAGAAGAGGATGAAGATTAAGCGGTTACCCAAGATTCTTGCTTTACATCTCAAGCGCTTCAAGTACACGGAGGATCTCCAGCGACTGCAGAAGCTCTTCCATCGCGTTGTATATCCCTTTTACCTCCGGTTGTTCAACACCACCGACGATGCAGAAGACCCAGATAGGTTATACGAGCTTTATGCAGTAGTGGTCCACATAGGAGGTGGTCCCTATCATGGTCACTACGTATCCATCATCAAGACACAAGATCGAGGCTGGTTACTCTTTGACGATGAAATGGTTGAGCCGGTTGACAAGGCCTATGTCAGGAACTTCTTTGGTGGAGAGAATGTCCTGGCTTGCGCCTATGTCTTGTTCTACCAAGAGACAACAGAAGAAGCCATGATGAAGGAGCAAGAAGCCGACGCCCTAGCTGCAGCAGAGCAAGCCGCCAAAATGACACAGGAAGAAGTCACAACACCGAAAGCGAATGGTGCCAACGGTCAGGCGTATCATGCTTTCAACAATGCAACGACACCTACGTTGGAAGAGGCCGATAAGTTCGCGAGCCTCGATCACGCAGCTACTGCTCCGCCACTTGCCCACGTTGAAACAAACACCGACCATCACCCAGTCGAACATACCACAACACAAGTACCTGTCCTCGGTGCGCGGAAAAGCAACCTTGGGCTCTTTGGTAAAGGCAAAGAAGAGAAGGAGCGCAAGGCTCAAGAAAAGGAGCTTGAGAAGCAAGCGAAGCAGAAACGCAAAGAGATGGAAATCCAACGACGCGAAAACTACCGCAAACAAGAAGACGAACTTCGTGCAGCGCTCGAAGCTAGCAAAGCATCAGCGGTGGAAGAGGAGAAGAAGCGCGTTGCGAGTGGCGAGGTGCCACCTCCCACAACTGCTGGTGCGGGAGGCGACAAAGAGAAAGCGGCGAACGGCTTTGGAAGCGTCAAGGGCATGAGCGGATTGAGTCGTTTTAGGCATACCTCGATGAGTCTCAAAGGCAAACCCAAGTTCTGGGGTAAGGACAAGCAAGACGACGAGCCCAATCCGCCCGATACACCGACCACAGACACGGACAAGGACGGCAAGAACCGTTTCAGCTTAGGAAGGAAGAAGAGCACGTTCAAATTCTAGGAAAACTTGCCGCCGTAGAACAGGATGTTGTTATATTGCAAGATGCGGATCTGAGTATCAGTCTTGGATTGTCAAACAGGGTGGCTTTTGAAGCTTGTCCTTCCGATAGAGTGAAGACTGGAGAAACGGTCTTCCTACCAAATCGTTGGCGATGCATGTATGTTGCATGGTTATTCTTTTCTTTCCTCAAGGCTTGAAGATGGCGTTGTAATTACTGCCCTCAAGGATGGGTGGTGTGTTGTGCATATCAACTTCGGATATTCGTTGTTATAGCGTACTCGTTTAGCTTAGCAGAACTGCGAGTTTGACAGAATAGTGAACTGTACAGCTTTTCCATGGATCGTGGCCATGTCTCAGCTTCGAGCTATTATATTGGGTTCCCTTTAGAGTCAGCTTAATTTCACGTTCATATTCTGTTCATCCTGCTTATGGGCCCTTGGGGCAGTTGATGAAAAGGTTTGTTCAGGATTACATTTGGATAGATGACCATGCTGACCCGTATCGAAAGAAGACAAGTCTGTACCTGCTTTTGGCAGACTAGACTGGAAAGTTGAAACGCAGACAACGTTCCGCAGTAAACTAAATGCTCTCAGTGTCCCTTTATAAACGCCGGCTACTACGATCTTCATCGCAACGCACTGTACTCTTACACCACGCATCGACGACACCTGTTCTACCAAGGTCTCTTCTATGAAAACTTCCACCGATTACCACAGTTCATGCACTCGCAAAAGGTCGTCATCGGTTCATCAGCAGACCTGGTCTGCGCTTGACTGTAGCTGACCATCTTTTGCTTGCATTTTCCGCACTGGAACTCCTTGGAAATGGCCTTTTCGACCTGTGCAACCATGGCCTGATTCATGTTGATCTGTTCCAGCTTCTCGTCTTCTGCTCGTCGCGCGTCCGACTTCATCTCGTCATGTGTCATGACGACGAACTTGTCTGCGGGCACCTCGCCAGCAAGTACACGCTTGCGAAGCTGGGGATTTGATTTGCTCTTGAGATTCTGGAAGAGCGAGCGCATCTTGCCCTTGTAAGTGTCGTTTACACTACCAGCCTTGGCGTATGCGGCGGCTTCGATTTGCTTTGCGACGCTGAGAATCTCGTCGGGCACTGGGCATGTCAGTCATGTACAAGGCAGTTGGCAAGTTGCTACCTACTCGCTTCACTCATGAAGGCCAGACCGTCGTACATCAGCCTAACGCAGTTGTCGCGGGCCTCATTTCCAGTCACTTGGTACTTGACCTTGTCTGTCTTGTGATTGCGCTTGTCGGCAGGTACATCATGCTTCTTCTTGGCCAGATTTGGTGCCGGAGACGCGGTTCCTGAGGGTGGAGGAGCGGGGGAAGAGGCTGCACCTCCATTCGCGGCTGCCTTTACCGGGCCGTCCTTCTTGGAGGGCTGCTTCTTTTTGACCTCATCCCTCCACTTTGCTACCAATTCGGTCGCGAGCTTTTGTACTGCGGGATCCTTGTGAGTTCGCAGACGGTTGATAGTGACACCGATTCGTGTTGAGCGCAAGAGGTCCTCGGTCGCGTGCACACCCGTCTTCAGGTCATTAAGCAGCTTCAGCACAGAAGCGCTGGGCTCGCCCTCAGATACAGCCTTTCCGATGGCCTTGCCACGGAGCTCGATCTCTTTGGCGTCCATTGCCATGGTCCAGGCAGTGCTTGTCAAGATGTAGGGTATCCTGCACGCGGAGTCGCTGGTGCCTAGGGCAGTCTGTCGCTGTCACGAAGGCAAGTTCTCCCTGGATTGATGTTGCGACTGAGAAGGTCGGGAGGTCGGCGCGGGGTGCTTAGGCGCGTCAGAAGCAGGTATACGCGACGTTGGGGCACGGCAGTGGTTCGGCGACGGTAGGGGAGACGTCAAGGCAGGCAGGCGGCAGGAGGCAAGGAAGCGTGGTGCGATGGCTTGTTTGATTGCCATGTAGAAGTTGCCTTTGCTCGGAGAGGCCCGAGCTCACAGCCGCTAGCCTCCGCCTTCACCAAGGGAAACTGCAACCGTTAACTTGGGAACTGCCAGACTAAAGACCAGCGACGACTGCTGCTGCTGCTACTGCTACTACCGCGCCAACTGGTGCCTCTGGTACTCTCGACACACACACACACACACACACCCGACGAATCACCATGGCCGAAAACGCGGCCCCAGGAAGCGCAAACAACGCGGGCGCAGACAGCTCGCGCGGCATGCCCTACTACGAGAGGCTACGACGCGACCTACGCGAATCGCTGAACAAGAAGCGCCTGATCGATAACAACCTGGTTAGTACTGCACGCGACGCGTCGTGAGTCTGTGAGCCTTGATGTTGACTCTCATGGCAGCTACAACTCGAAGATAATATCTTGCGAGTCGAGACACAGTATCTCGAAGAGACGAGCGCCGGGAACATCATCAAGGGCTTCGATAACTATATCAAGGGCGCAGCAACCACCACGACAGCAGGGGGAGCAGGTACTGCCACCAGGCGCAAGGCTCCCATCAGTGATGCGGACCGCATCTTCAGCCGGAGCTCTACAAGCTTCTTGAGGGTATGTCGAGGGATACCAGGCCGGCTTGCCGATCGCTAGAGATAATATGCTGACTGCTCTACAGGAATCGTCGACGCCGGGCTCTGCGACGCCATCGCACGCCCCTACGCCAACTTCTTCCTTCCCTACGCGCGAGTCGAGTCAACCTACGAACGGCGCGAGACCAGGAGGCAGTAAGAAGAAGAAGGCAGCCGACGATGATGACGAGGATAGCAACAAGACGAAGCGACAGAAGATCTCCTACGGCCGCGAGTGAGAATCCGTCCCGAGACTCCGACACCGCTTGCTTCAAGAGCAGCGGGATAAAAGGATCCTTGAAATTACAGAGCATCACCAAGGTATCTTGAGGCGAGTAATTCGCTCAAGGTACGATTGCGCGTCCTTATGGGTCCCGAGACACAAAATCTAACAGACCTACCAACAAAATAGGAAGGCACAAAGGAGTCGGTTAGTCACCCGAAGCTGCGCGTGTTCAACTTGTGGGTACCTTACAACAGGCACGGGAGAGGTGAAACCGCTGTAGATCGGACTTGTGAACGCGGGGTTGGTTCAATCTCGATATGAGACCCACTTAATAGAGGATAACGTACTACACCACCACCGACGGGCGACAACGCATCTGTGCTGACTAGCCGGCGTTTGTGGTGGAGATTGCTCGATGCTTGACTTGTTGCTTGCTTCGAGTGGTCGGGAGAGTGCTGGTGGAGTGCTGCTTGGCGTCCTGTTACGCGCAAGCCACGTCCGTAGTCTGATGGCGGCTTCATCTCAGCGAAGCGGAATTCATGCTTGAGGAGGGTTAGCATAGTGGATCAACAAGTACAATGCAAGAATGCAAGTCCCGCTCGTGGCATCCAAAGATTGCGAAGGATTCGTGGCAATCTGGAAATAAACGAAGCGAACTACTTCTTCCCGCGCTTCTTTATGGTACAGTAGCCGCAATGTACAGCAAAAATGAAGTCTCATGGTCACATTGCACCTTTACAACCCTTGCCATGAATCGTAGTAGAGACCCTTCTTTTTGTGGGAAAAAATTATAACAAGGATGTTAATGCATATTACTCCGAGGCTCATCTGGTTGTATTCGAGAAGGCGCAGGGACGGCCAGCATTGAGATTGTGATGCCAACAACCACTGTCGGTTAATCTGAGACGATGGCGGAGAACAGAGACGAAGGCGGTGCATGCTGGCTGGCTGTGGACTTCGCATCCTGGGATATCATGGTATGCAGAACTATAACCCAACGACACAAGTCCGCTTGTGCTAAGACATCCCGCCCTCGCTTCATGGGCTTGTCGGTCCATGCGACTGCTTGAAGATGCGATCGGCGGGGCTTAGTACGGTAAAGCGAAAAGGGCTTCTCCTTTACGAGACAACGGCCAAAATGTAACACTGGCTTGCATGATGGCTTGCAATTCCGTGTGGTGGCCACAAAGTTTCAAAGACCGAAATAGAGGAGCCGGAGCGGGTGGCAAAAAGATAGCTGTTTAGGAGGCTGGCGGAAATGCTTAATGCTGAGTGGTGCTTCGGCGGTACTGCAAGCTAAATTACAGCGTTCTCCGGGCACCAACAGACTGCGCGCGGAAGCCAACAACAAGCGCAACAGAGTCAAGCAGTTTTGCCTCATCACGTTCTCGTAACGCGATATGTTGCCTTGCGTTTCGCGTTGCTGTAAGTCGTCGCGTCCTTATGACGATCTTTTCTCGAAAAGATGGTACGAGTATACAGCCGTCAGGCACGCTACGATCTCATCTCAGGCTCTTTTCGGTCCTTCTCCAGTGTGTGACCCACTCTAACAAGCGACGTGCGTGATTGGTAGCCCTTTGAGTAGCAGAGAAATAATAAGTCCCGCAGCCGACGCGACGCAGAAAGAAAGCCCGACGTCAGCACACACGGGCACTTGTGCGATTTCGAGTGAAACCTAATGACATCGTTGCGCCCCGCTCAGCCTCGTACGCACAACTCGGGTTTTGCAACAGGGGCGACCTGGAGGCCGGAGTCAGTGGGTGTGAAGCAAATGATAGCAGAGAACCAAAGCTTGAGGCGGCCCAAAGGTGCAGCGGGAGACATCCCACTCGCTGAGGTAAGACAAATTTCAGGGTCCGGCGGCGGCTAGCAAGGGCATGACGCTCCATGACGGATGCCAAGTCTCAGCCCTTGTCGTAAGCCGACCGCTCACGGGACGCCAGATGATGGCATTGCGGAGACAAAGTCGTGACTATGTCGCGTTGGCCAAACCCAGGACCGAGGAATCCCCAATGACGAACGGAAACAGCCACTCGGGGCCGAATCAGAGAGGTGCTGCCGTCACTATGTCAGCTGGAGGGAGGAGATTGAGATAGAGAAACAGAAACTGATGTGCATGGGATAGAACAAGGGTCTTTGATTCTGCCGCGCTCCTATCCACAATGTGGAAGGGTGCGTCATTTTCTGCCGCTGCCTGTACTCGACGACTCAATGTCGTATCCAAAGCCATCCTATTCTGGCTTGTGCCCCATCTCCGGGTGGCACCTATGCGCGCGCGCTTCAAACTACTACTGTACAAAACGTCATTGTGCTCACCACCTGTGCCTCGACTCTACGTCGGGAAGGTGGTTGCTAAAAGAGAGTCTAAAATATTAAAGGGTATAAGCGAATGGTGATGACAACATGCTCCGTATCGACTACGGGTCGAAGCCCTGTCGAGCGATGTTGAAAGATTAAATAAGCAATTGTGGGCGGCTGAAAACCAGGCCCGGGTGAGACAAACGCGTAATGTTACATGGTGGGAAATCGCTCGGAAACGGAATACTCGTAATTCGGAACACCAGAACGCCGTGGTGGTCCCTCAATTCGATGAGCGGGACAGGTGGTATCTCAGTAAAAACCGTGGTGTGCAGCGATGGGTAGGAGAGGAACAGCCGTCTCAGCTTGTTGTCGTTGGGTCTATAGTCGTGACTAAGAAACGCGCGACAGTGGTATCTCAAAATATGCGATGTACTGGAGACATGCGACAGGCCGGTTGGGATGTGGTCCGGGCAAGCAAAGCACTAGATACAACTGGGGTGTTGATCTTCTAGTGATCGACGCTTTCCGGTGAGGGATGATCGATACTGCCGTCGTTCTTGTGAACCTTTCGGTGCCTCCTCAGGTTGGAGACGACAGAGAAGTGCCGGCCGCAGCCATCAACTTCACACGCGAAGGCTGTTGCAATGTTAGTGACGGAAAATATGGTGTGCGCGGAAAAACTTACGCTTCTCGCCGGTATGGCTGTACATGTGTGTTTGTAGCGAACTTGGTCGTGTGAAACGCTTGTCGCAGATCTTGCACTTGTGCTTCTTTTGCGAGCTGGAAGACACCTTTGAGCTGAACTGGCTCATCATTGAAGCGGGCGCTGGAGGCATGTTTGCTCCTAGAAGCGCGTTGGGGCGTGGCAGAGTGCGCGAGTTGCTCAGGTCAACAGACTCGGAGGCAGAACTGTAATCTGTCACGGAGCCATCACCGCCGTAGTATCCGTTAGGGCCATAGCTGCCTGACGAAATTGACGAGTGTGTCGAGTGTGCTGACGGGAAACCGTATGAATCGGTCGAACTGCGGCTAGTTCCTTGAGAGCCATAGATATTCCTTGGGGTAATGTCTGACTGGCTCAGGGAGACCATACCACGGCTCGCGTCAAGCGCGTCACTAAAGCTGTTGCGCGGTTGCTGTGTGTTCATTCTGCTAAAGTCAACAAGTGAACTTTGGCGTTGTCGTTGGGCCGCGCTTTCTACGGACTCGTAGAAGGCTATTGAGGGGACTGACGGGTGTGAAGAGCGGCGGGAAGCATCCTGTTGGTATGCGTACGGGCTCCGTTCTGTGTTGCCATATTCCACCTGAGAGTAGGGCGCTGAAGTTGGAGCATATGTTTGGTTTGGAGGTGACCCAGAAGTAGTATAACCGGTTGGGTACCGCGACATGAGATCTTCAGAGGCATCAAGTAAGTTTTGTGTTCCGAAAGTGCCATCCGGGAGAGTTATACCTTGTCCCATGGGAGGAGCTGTGACCGGCAGACCGTGGTACGGGATGGCAATGCTGGTAGGCCGCTGCGCGTCGACATTGGGTGCAACAGTGGTCTGGTACAGTTGCTGCTGCGAGGCACCAGTAGACACCCACGGGTTGGTGAAGTGTGGTTGTTGTTGAGGGTAGCGCATGTGTTCGTAGCCCATGCTGCTTAGCTGGGGTTGCTGACGATTGTCGACTGCCATTGCCATTGCGTGTTCGAGACGAAAGGTAGTGAGGTATATAAGTCCGGAGGGGAAGGTGGTACAAGAAGACGAATATGAGTGTGACAATAGGCACTCAACTCGTGGATCCAGGTGTGAAACGTGATAGTTCGAGGGTTGAAAACGTGGAGATAGTCGATCACAGGTACTCAGCGGTGGGATCTGCGACCTTTTGAATTCACTCTGACACTGGGGACTCCCGTGCTGTGGTAGTCCAAGTCGAGTAAAGATAATCCCTTTGGTATGTCGATCAGTTGACCTGTACTAAGCAGGAGCAGTGGCGATGAACCAGCGAGATTAGGTGTAGGGCGAAAGCGGACACCAGTGACTGGGAGGCAGACGCTCGAGCGTTTCAAGTGAAGCACTGTGCTTGCAAGGAGCAGAATGCCCAGCGGGTGCAGGGGCGGACCGTGTGGGCTGGGTTGCGTGTTGCGTGTCGCCTTGGAAGGTTCGGTAACGTTATTCGCTACAAAAGCAAACCAGCGACAAAGAAGTAAGGATGTGAGGGTAACGATGATGAAAGCAGTATTGATAGTCTCTGGTACGATTTATGGCAAGAGACAATCTAGGATTGAGTAAAGCTTAGAGGTTGGTGACTGTTGATCAGTGGACATTTAGTCGGGGAACACTGATTGATAAATTCCGCTGCTTGGAGGGTTTACGTCTTTTGGGTTCACAGCACCTCCATCATAGGCTGGCAGCCAAGCATAGCGAGCAGGCAAGTTGGCTCAAGACCCCGGACGCACCTACGTCGGTGAAGACAAGGATCAAGTGCGCTAAAGCATCTCTCTGCACGCTGCTTTTAAGCGTGTGGGGAGCGTTATTCAATGGCCTGCCCACGGCCGATGTAGTATCCGCGCCATTGAGCACTGTGGGCTCAACAGTCTTCAGCTCCCGTTCATTGAAGCCAGCGTCTACCGCTTCTCCATTGCGCTATCATCGGCACCTTTCTCACCCGTGAGAGGCCAGTAGTGCGCCAGACAAGCCCTCGCCGCTAGGCAAGCCTCTCCTCTTTGCAAGCCCACTGCGAATCAGCGGGCGGTAGGCGCGGGAGGGCTTTTTGGCTTTTGTTTTGGCGTGCATCCACCAGGCCAGGGTCAACGAGGGACATAGAAGAGGACTAGTCTATTCACTCACAATTGCATGCTGCCGTTTTGGTCAATGAACGCTAGCCCGATAAGCAGCCAGAGTGAAATGCTCCGCAGTAATGCTGACGAGTGCGGCAGGCCATTGAGTTGCCCTGTGTCCTCATCCTAGCGATACCTGATCACCCCCTAAGCTTTGCTTCTGACACTGTCGACACTCTACGCTGCAGAACAACGGTCGCCTAAGGAGCACGCTCCACCCCGACCATCAAAGGGACCGAAAAGGCGGCTTCGCAAGCTTGCGGTTTGGAGGTGCATCGCGCCGGACACTGGCCGGAGAGTCTGCTTTCGCGTCGCGGAGTCGGACCGTACTACCATCTCCACGTTGTTGCGTAAACTCGAACTCTGTGAGCATCTCTCCCTCTGTCCTAGCGTTGGTTCCGCCCCTCTCCTGACTCTGTGTCGTGCACGGCGCACTCATGAAAAAAAAAGCGCCCGAAGTGAAATTACACAGTAGTCCCCTGAAGCAACGCCTGTGCGCATACCTAAGCAATGGGCAAGCGTTTGATCGCCGTCCATGTTGCTTTGGCTGCAACGACTGTAGCTTAGCCAGAAGGCGGGTCACGAGTTGCAGCATACACCTCTATCGCGGGAACTGCCTTGTCCAATAGGGGCGTCACTGTCATGTCGGTGTACCTGCTCCGCGCAGGATTCCACACTCGAGGACACCACGCTGGACCGAGTACTGAGGGAGTGGCACTTTAGCTCCAATCAATTGCAATCCCCAATATCTGCTTGCCTGGAGATGGAGGCGTCATGTGTAGCAGGGCTGTATGGGCGGCGACTATATCCACCAATGACGATATCGTGCACCGATACCAGAGCGTCGACGATTAGGAGTGCTCGTTTCGTGCTCCGTATCTTCGGCCTCTCATTGACGCGGACCGGGTAGTTTACTGAGAGGGATGATGAGAGCCAAGACCCATTTGTACACCCCGCTGACACGAGCGCTGATGCATGGTGTGAAAGGATGTGGGCGCATCATGGGTGCTTGCTGGCAATGTCGTCATATAAGGACACCCCTAGCGCAGACGCTAAGCTTACAAGCGAGCTGTCATTGGCGCGACTCGCAAGCCGTACCTGGCAACAGTGAATGCCATGCAGGATGATGTAGGAGCGGTCAAGGTATGCGGGCGATTTGCCGCCAGAGATATTGAACATGCTATGCTTGCACGCCAGCCATTGTCGCAATGCGTTATACCAGCAAGCAGAACGCTGTGCTGAGCGTCCAACTCGCATCGTGGCTTGTAAGCTCTATCTGGACGCGAGTGGCAAACCGGCAGAAGGCGTGCACCCGGCATCTACCATCTCACCGCCGCCTGCTTCGTCGACATGAATGGCTAGGTGTTGGGACAAAAGGGCCGCCTTGCATCGTAAGTGCACGGAGCAGCTTCAAAAATCCCCCTCACTGTTCGTGGCTCCGCGGGCCTTGTCATGCAGGGCAAGATCTGATGGAGCAGCGCCATCCCGCTCAACATCGAGCTTGCAGAGTGCACTATCAAAGTCACTTGAGCGTCAGGTCCCCACTTGGCTGCGTCTGCCTTTGCCGCTACTTTGTGTGTGCATATGTCGGCGGAAGCGGTACCCTACCGGAGTGGTCTGTGAAATGGGTGCGGCATCTGACGGCCTGCTATGCATCGCATCAGCAGCATCACAGCGACGCAAAAAGAAGTGGGCGTGACCCATTCACAGCGCTATGTGCCAAAGCACGACAGCCACGAGCGCAGCAAAGATCGTAGGCTGTCGGCAGCCGTTCAGAACTGGCTCGGCATTTGAACACTGGACCCTGCATTCGCAAGCCATACCAGATCACCGAAGTTTATTAGCCGTTGTCTGTGTACATGCTCTGCCCGCTTGCCAAGTCATTTGGGTACTCGATAAGCTCTAGGGCGGATTGTTTTTTATTTCCGAGATCACAGCCTAGCTCTGCAACACGAGCGATAGCACCACACGTGTGGAGAAGCAAAGTCGGCTCTTGAGATGCATGTGGAAATGTACACTCTATGTGCGACAGTATCCCACAGTCCTGGGGATCTTCAACAAGCGTTCCCCGCGATCTTCAAGTGAGCCAGATGTGCGGCTCTGCGAGATCGATCAGCAGTTTGTGATAGTCAGGGACACGTGTTGAACACGTTCACGTTGAAAGCTGCGCAGCGCCGCGTAGCGCAGCACACCACAGAACTGGCCGCGCAAACGCCTTCCGCCGAGCCTTGTGTCCAACTAGTGCTCAACAACCGCTCACAACCCCATAGCGCCCAAACAAACTCTTGCTAGAGCCGGGCAGCAGGTGAACCGAACAACGCCTAAACCAGCGACAAAAGGCCAGCAGTAAAACAGCAAAAGAAAGTAGTCGGCGAGGCAGCGAATCAAGTGAGCCCGATACTCTGGGACATTAGCCAGCAGGCCCATTTGCTAGGAAAAAGACTAGTCACGGGCAGCGGTGCAATTGCAAGCTTCAGCCAATTGAGACGTAGTCGGCCAAGAGAGCGCTGCGACTCGGCGCACTGCACTTGCGAGTGCTCAAGCCGCCCGATGTAACGTTCGTCCAAACTGCGGGAGTAACGCGGGCTGTCAGGTTGTCAATCTTGGGGGTGGCTGCGTAAGGCCCGTCTGTGCAGTGTCAAGGTTTGAGCTGGAGATTCTGCATGTTCGAATGTAATCGAATGATCTTCAGAGAGTTCCCGCTTTCCAACGGACAAGGTACATGATCATCACTGTCAAGCCAAGAAATTGGGTTTCAAAAGCAAACAGTTTCCGCATCGAGAAGCATGGCCACGAGATTGCGCTGTAGTTCGCAGATCAAAATCTTTTTCTTTCCTAATCTGATGACCCGGCATTACAGGCGTTACTACCACGACATCTCTCCTTTATGCGCCCGAGGGGACGCGCAATGCCAATGCTTGTAGCATGCTGGTGGGGTTTTGTCAACAGTTGACTCGAGTTGCAATCCGCGTTTTCACTCTTTGACCAGCTCACTGGAGAATTATCGGGTGACCAGGATGTGCTTAGAGGCACATGATGTCGTTGAGCACGTGCATACTGCATGAGGAAAGCTGCATTCCCCTTTCTGATAGCCTATCGCATGGGTCTTCACATCTCAGAACCTGATTAGGCAAGCTCGCACTTTGGCATTGGAAGCCCTGCCAATGAAATGAGGCTGAGTGGTCGCCGAGCAATACCAACATCTAACTTCCAGTCGCTACCCTGTGATACATCCCTATCTTCACAAGAAGTTTCCAGTGCTGTGGTAGACATGTCTAAGCGCACCTGCATGGCTTGTTTTTTCTTGCAGACTGACTTTGACCTTTCGAGCTGATAGTGCAGGAATGCGCTGTCAATGCGTGCTCTGTAAAAGGAAGGCGCGAGTGCCTTTCCGCCATGTCGAGGCTCTATTGATGGCGAATTGATGGTGGTTGTATTGAATCATTCATTCGTGATTTGTTCATCGTGCGACGTGCTCAACGACCGTCTGTTCGCTGTCATGATGGCGAGATTGTTGAAGGCCGGGCCGTGTCAAGGTAGATTGTCTCGTGTTACTCATACTGTGAGCATTGTTCGTCCTGTTTGAGTTGACATCATCCGGTGAACCCGCTTTCCTCGTAATGGGCGAATCCGCGTCTTGTTCGTGAACTAATTTCTCGATATTTGCCTCGGTCAGAGGCATCGATGGTTCGCTTTGTGGCCCCTGAGAGCTGTTGTGACGAATTAGCTGTGGCCCAACTAGGGAGAGCAGCTTTTCATCGCGCAATTTCGTATCTCTTTCCTCCGCGTGGATACGCCGCATAGCCCGCTCACCCTCATTCTCGTTGGATCTGGCGAATGCTGCATCGCTCTGGTAATGGAGGCGGTCAAGTTCAGCGGTCAGTGCCTGCGCCGTTGTTTCAGATTCAACCGACATGCCTGCCGTTCGCGGGTGATCTTTTGCCCTAAAGTCCACCTTGGAGCTTGGGTCTGCGACGCCATGTCGATCATTGTCGGTTGTGGATGGCTTGTCTTTGGCCGTTTTTCGCCGGCCCTCGAGAGCCCACTTGACAAGCATCTTATGATTGTTAGCGGACCCACCAGTTGGCTTGGGGTAACTTGCCTTCTCCAGCAGCTTGCCTTTGACTGGCTTGGCAAGATAGTCCTACAGCGGCTTAGTATCTCCTATATCACGACCTCAAAGTTGCCGCTGGTGAAGACTTACATCCATCCCACATGAAACACACTTCTCCTTATCGCCTTGGATGGCACTGGCCGTCATAGCAACGATTGGAACACCTCGGATTTCGGGCATGTTGCGCCATGGTGCTTCTGTCCGGATAGCGTGGGTAGCAGAATATCCATCTCGGATAGGCATCTGCATTTTCTATTAGCAAACGATATGTGCAAACATTCTCAGTCACCTTACCTGCACATCCATCAAGATAATATCCGGGCGTGGATGCGAAGGGCCGAACTCCTGCATCAGATATTCCAATGCTTCCTGGCCGTTCCACACCGCACTAACCGAGAAGTGAAGTTTTTTGATGGTCTTGAGCGCAATTTGTTGATTGATATGGCTGATTATTTGTCAGATGCCGAGGTTCATGGAATTGTGTTCAGGTGTGACTTACTTGTCTTCGACGACTAGAACGTGGATCTGCTGTCTTTCGCTTTCGGAGAGATTCATCAGATGATCCGGAATGGCTGATTTCAGGAGCGGGTATGGCAAGCTTCCGTTGGGTAATTGCGGTGTCAACGGCGGCGTGTGGCCTTCCGAGCTTCCGCATGAAACTGACATGTCACTCTGGAGTCGATCCGGGATGGACTCTAGATGAACCAACGGTGATTCTCCGTCTTGCGATGGTGCGCGGGTGAATGGTATCCAAAAAGTAGCAGTAGTACCCTGTCCCAGCTTCGAGTCCAGCCATATTTGCCCTTTCATGAGCTCAACCAAATTCTTGCTGATGGTCAGTCCTAAGCCAGTTCCTCCGAAACGGCGAGCTGTAGATGAGTCTGCCTGACTAAAGGGTTGAAACAACCGTTTCCGGACCTCCTCTTCTATCCCAATACCGGTGTCATCCACCCTGAAATTTACCGTGACCATGTCTTTTGACTCCTGGCTGATCGATACGGCGAGCTTCACAGTACCCACCGATGTGAATTTGATGCTGTTGGTGAGCACATTGGTCAGGATTTGCCGTAACCTGCCTGGGTCTCCCATCACCCGGAGATCTGCCTGAACCTCGTCTTGTATCGAACTTTGATAATCCAGACCTTTCCTTTGGGCAGCAAAAGACATCATCTAAGCTAGTTAGTAAGAATACAACCAGAGATTTTGGTGAGTGACTTGCCTTGTTCACATCTCTTAGAACCACGCTGAGACTGAACTGTACCTCTTCCACGTCCAGTCGACCTGACTCAACCTTTGAGAAGTCTAAGATGTCGTTGATCACAGTCAGGAGGCTGTTCGCGCTTCGATGAATGTTCTCTGCGCACTCTTTCTGCTCCTCGTCCAAGTTCATGTCGAACAGCAGTTCGCTCATGCCAATAACCCCAGCTATAGGTGTCCGGATCTCGTGTGACATGTTGGCCAGAAACTGCGACTTCATACGACTGGCTTCCTTTGCCGCCGCTTCATTAGCCAAGAGCCTTGAGTTCTCTTTCTCCTGTTCTTTCAGTTGTTCTTCCCTCTCTCGTAGCTCTGTGATATCCATGGACACACCGATTACGCCATCCACGAAGGTGTTGCCTTCAATGCCGGCAGTCCGAGAAGTACTCATAAGCGGTACTAAACGAGTTCGGTAGTAGTGAGCCTCCGACATGTATCTTCCGTTCACAACCTCAACTGATTGTTTACCCTGTAATATCTCTTGAATAGGTTCGTGCCATCGCTTCCGATCGTTGTCATTCAAATTGAAGACATCGAAAACGTCTCTGCCCAACTGGTTCTTTCTAAACCGTTCGTTGGGTTCAATGTCTCCTTCCATCACCTTGACTTCATTGTTGCGGTCAATCACCCAGAGGACAATTTTTGCGTGCTGAATGACCTGCTGTAACTGCTCTCTTGTCTGACGGGCTTCCTGACGGGCTAGGACCAGATCGTGGATGTCAGTGCATGTGCCAAACCACTTAACAATACGCCCAGAGTCGTCATAGAAGGGCACAGCCCGTCCCAGCATCCAGCGCCACTCTCCATCGTAGCGCTGGCATCTATATTCCGTATTGTATTCGTCGCCTGTCCTGAGAGAATGAAACCAACGCTCCGCGGTTGTGGACATGTCATCTGGATGGAATGGGAGGCGCCAGCCTTCGCCTAGTGATTGATCAACGGTTAACCCTGTGTAGTCATACCACCGTTGTGAGAACCAGTCGTGGAGTCCATCAGGTGTCGTTGTCCATACCATGACTGGCATAAAGTTGGCGATGTACTCAAACTGCTTCTCGTTCTCTTCGATCTGGGCGGCGATCTGCTTGGTATATTCGGTGACATCCTTGAAGATCACTATACCACCAAGGAAATTTCCAGTTTCTTCATGAAACACAGGCTCCCCATTGATCTCATACACGATACGAGTGCCTGTTTGCGGGTGTCGCATACCAATGCGCCGTTTCTCAACTCTCTCTCGCGTACGGCAGACCTCAATAATAGGAAATTCGTCAATGCCGAGAAGGCGCTGGAAGTCCTCGGTCCAACACGAGAACTGAGAAAGAAAATCCCTTTGGTCACCAGGAATATATATTCCGTCTTTCGAAAGGAGCCGCAGTAGGGCCTTGTTTGGGATACCAAACGTTTCGTCTTTCCACATGGCTGTGCAGGGGTTAGCGGAGAGTTGGCTAAAAGAAATTGAGATTGAACGTACCGTATGCAGGCATGGTAACGGAGTTTAATATTGCGTCTTTTAGTTGTGTCGCCTTCTGGAATACGGATGCAGCCGTCCCAATATCACCCTTACTTTTGGTAGGGGGGCCACGAGGAGGGAATTCTGGTTGTTGTAGCGTAGGCGTTACAGCTTTCGAAGCCGTATTTGAACTACTTCCCGAACGACGGCCCGATGAAGAGCTTGAGCCTGAGCTACGTGACTTGTCGAGACGGGCTCCTGTGTTTGTCCGGGTGACGGCACGACTGGAAGGTGGTAGCGCACTATCAGCAGCTGTTGCGCTTGTGAAAGTCAACGTATAATATTGGGTTTCCTCAATACTCCAAACAGAGATTATGCAAGATGCCTGCATTGCATTTTCGTACGCTGTTTTCCTGTCCGACTTGTGCAGCGTGCCTTCGGGACCCAAAACGAGCGGTGCAATAACGACGTCTACTGACACGTCGCGTACGATAGTTCGAGCGAGATTTGTACTGCTCAAGGGTGGCAATGACTCTGTTGATTTGTTGTTCGTTTGATACGGCATATTGGCTGCAGTCGGCGTGGTGTGGCCACTTCCCATGTGGGAATCTCCGTCCTTATCCAAGCCATTTGCTATTGAATCGTCTACTACGCAATCCAGAAAGCTCTACTAAAGTTAGCAATTGCCAGGTCTAAATACCATGTTTGCACGATTGTGGGGAAAGACGAACCTCCCATGTGATCATGATTGGAGAGCCGTTCTGCAAGATGTCTACAGCAAGATCACCCATGGTCTTGTCCTGCAACACCTCGGATATGGAAAGATGATGAACGCTTTCAAAGTCAATGCCAAAAAGGCGACCCATAGCCTCATTTGCTAGGACCACGGTTTTTTGCGCTGACAAGACAATGACTGGTACTGGTAAGTATTGTAGCGCAGTCAAAGACGCCATGGTGGCTGACGGCTCGGCGAGATGCATTGACATGGAGTCGCTACGTATCGAGTTGGGAGATTCAGATCTTGCGCGCTCTCCCATGGCGAAGTATCCGCCATCGCGGCTGTCGGCCTCTGTCATTATGATTACGGTGGTGTGGTGGTGCGCGTGTATGGCCGTGTAGGATCGTAATGCGACTCGTGTCGGGAAATAGTGGCCGCACCCGTAAATGGTAAGGAAGAAGCGACTGGTGACGCCTCAACTAGACCAGACAACAACATGGAGCGGACGCCCTGGCCATACCATGGATAAAGTCTCGCGCAGACGTATTCGAGAAGGAAATGTGCGAGCTCAGGAAGTGGAGAGACGTTGGGCGATGTTCGTGGTTGCGCTTTGGAGGTGGAGTGGGGATCGCATGTACGAGTCGTGTAAGCGGGCAGATCGGTTCTAGACCCTCTCATCGGTTGGGATATTGAGTACGTACCCAACCTGCGAAAACCGTGAAGTGACGCACAAAGCACAAGCACAAGCACGGCAAGAAAATGTGTGAGTGTACGCCGGAGATCTCGCTCTGAAGACAAAGGTTCTAGAACCGCGCTTCCGGTTCAGGTGGGTGCCACGGCAATGACGCAAATTTGGGTACTGAAAGAACGGACGATGAGACGGCGCGCGCCTATAGCCGGCCGTGGGTACTCCCCCGAGCCCTACCATTTGATGGAGCAGGGCTTGAGAGATGTTTGGCGTGAGATCTGGGAGCTCCGTTTCTTTGGCCGTCCCGTTTGGCATATGGCGATCACTGTGGGTGCCCTGCGCATAATTCGATTAGGGTTTCTCCGTCTTGGTGCTGCTTTTTGGACACCGAACAGCATAGGGTGAGCATGTCAATTATGTGTTTTGACAACGATCCCCACTAATCTTCATGTGCTACACCGGTGCACTGGCATGGATGGGGTATGATCGACATGCGGTTCAAATTGCCGCCTTGTCAAAATGCGATTGGCAAGCGATCCATGCCGAACAAGAACCCCCATGTTTACCGTGTCCGTGAAGCGCTTCTGGGATTTTGGTGCACCGCCACACGAAGGAGTTGTGCTGGTACTGCTATAGCGGTATCAGCGTTCCGATGCCATCTCTATGGTGCTGTGTTCTTAACGACATGCATGGATTTGATCTACTTGGAGAATTGCTCCCGTTCGGGATATGTATGGATCTGGGGCTTACATAATCCGTGAGGCTGGAGTCGACGACAGCTGTCTTTCTGATAGGCAGCCACATCAACAACTGCAACGCCCATCGATAGCCTCGTTACATGCAGTAGTGCACGACGCAACAACACGATCCTGCCACAGTCTTCCAAATGTTCTTCTTCGGGCTCGGTGGGCTGTTTACTGGTATTACCCATCGAGTCACATCTTACAGATTCGCTCGCTAACACGCGCAGTCGCGGTACTCCTCGTCAATGCCATAGCAATCCTCTCCGAGGACCGCTTCCTCGCGCGCAGTACGTTTACCAGGCCTCCCTGACCCCCTCCGGTCCTCGCGCATCTATGCATACACCAAGAGACGCAAACGTGCAGCGGAACACCCGACTGACCCAGATTACAGTTGGCTGGACAGCATCTGCAGACCCCGGTTTCGGCCGCCCTGGCGATGATGCCAGCATAAAAGCGCGATTGATCAACCTTGTCTCCTCGGTACGGACTCTCATGAGGTGTACGTAGACCCTACCATGGTCTCCATCCCCCGCATGCCTTGGAGGGGTGGCGTGTAGAGCCAACAGACATACTGACACGGCTGCAGTACCCTTGATGTTAATCAACACTCTCATGATAGTCTACCTACTAGTTCTCGGTTGAGCGCAGTGCATACACATTACGAATTAAACTCCGACTATCTCGACTAGCATACACAGGGCGCAGGAATGGGCGTACACAAGCATTTGGCGTTGTGCGCTACAAAAGGTTGACTACATTGGACGGAGTTTGTGGGGACAAAGGACATTGAAGAGCATCTACTACACATGCTCCAACCTAGCAGCTTGATACATTATATTAAGGAGCAGATACCCTGGTACGGTCGTGGCGGGCGGCTCACTCAGATGATACCACGCCACTCTCCCGTTAGAGTGTGCATGACTTGAATATATGAAATGTCATATCCCCGGATACAGCGCAAGCCTAACCCACGTATCATCAAGATATTCAGTGTACTTCCGCAAGTGGGAACAGCAAGCTCGGCATCAATCAAATCCTGTGGAGGGTAAGAGCTTCGTCATCACTGATATGATGTCTGCATTCATAGCAGTCCGAGGATGTACGATTCAAGCCATCGTTGGAGTTCGCTCGTTGGCGAAGGCTGATGGCGAGTTGGAGATGAGAAGCGTCCTAGGTGAATACAAGCGAGTCCAATTGATACAACAACAACAAACAGGTCTTTAAGGTCATAACTCTTCGTTTCTGGCAAGCACGCACCCATCCTCTTGTTTCAAATGACCTTCACATCCTTCGCCACCGCAGCGCACAGCTCAACTCTCACTCCCGCACCGGACAGCACATGTATCCAAAGCCTCTGCGTGTCACTCAGACGGTCGTTCTCACTCTTGACTTCCGCAAACTTGACTTCACCCCTCTTGCCCTCTTCTGATATCTGCCAGAGAAATAGGTCCGGTACACCGCCTCCTCTCTGTCCATACTCTTGCGCCATGACCTTGCACACAGTCGCTAGCGCTTCACCGTCAAAGCAATGAGCGATCTCGAGTAGGTCCAAAACATCATATGTCCAATCCAGACCTACAACGCAAGTTCGACGCTCGTGGTGGTCATCGTATATTCTTTGAATGATGGCTGGTGCGCCGCCATTTGATATCTCATTCAGCCGTGCATTAATCTCTGATATACGAGAGGCGTAGAACGCGTCTGTATGTAGGTCTAATGGACAGGTTTGGTATGGCGTCTGGAAGACGTTGGGTACGTACGTGAACAGGACGTCGAAGAACAGGTATGCAAAGAGAGTGCGCACAATCCCACCCTCGCTGTGGTAGCCTTTCCAGCCTTGATTGCGGTAATGTGAGAGACACATTGCTTCTACAGAGCACTCGCCATCCTCGCGCGGATCGATCCATATCGTCTTTCCTCCCCGCCGACCAAATTTTGAGTGTGGTGAGCTGTTTCTTCTTGACAACAAAGGGCGCTCGCGTTCGATCCGGGTCCCTTCCATGGAAACTTCAACTGGCTTCGTCAAGCGGACATGCGAGAAGTCGTGTTGCATTCGTTTGGCAAAGTTCAGTGACAATTCAAGTTTGGTGATGCGCTTCTGCAGATCATAGTGATATATGATATGCACAAGATTATCTTGCAGTCCATCCTCACAAGTCCGCAAAGCAATGAGCTTCCAATGTCTCTTCTGTTTGTCTGCACTTCTCTTCTCAGAATCGGTCAGCGCAGCCATATAGTGTTCTTCAAGCAATGCTTTGCGCTGATACCATGCTCCTCTGCGGGAATGATGAAACAATCGTTGTTGCAGTAGTTCGGTTAGAAGTTCATGTTCTCGCACATGCTCTTTCCGGCGCCTGAGTACGTCAAGCGCTTTATGGATGATGCGTGTGTAGATCCAGGCTGGCGAAAGACGGCGCAGATACGAGCCTTCGCCGCTTTGGTAAATGCTATTCTCCTTCTGTTGCTCCTCTTGAATCAGAGCTTGCCAGCGCGGATAAACCTCGTTAAACGTATCTATGATTTCTTGATACCCCTTCTCCGTTGGCCTTCCGTTAAACTCCAAAATACTATCTATTCGATATTGTGTTCGTATAGAAGCTTCATACTCTAGCAGTAGTGAACGCGAGGCGAATATGTTCGCAGATCGAGAAACGATGTACTCTGGAAAGTTCCAGCGTGCGATCTTTGCCAGGATGATTGTCGTTAATGACTTCTCGGTCCATTCCGTGGAGCGGTAGAAGACAAGATGGACACGCTCAAAAAGCTTCAAGGTATTCAGGGATAGTCGTATACAAGGCCCCGTCTCTTGCATGATCCTACGCGTAAAGTGCGCGTCTCGATTGGCATCGTCAGAGAGGTCGCCTTCGGGTTCTAGCTCAACTTCTGGTGTTTCTGGTCGAGACCTAGACGCGGATGACCCTCGTGAAATCTCCGAGTCCGACCGCTTCAGTCCAACGTAGCCCAGACCTGCCTGTTTCTGGCTTGTGCGTCGCAAGGCCTTCAAGAGCTCCCCCTTGTTCTTCCCTTTGACCTTGGCGTCTTTCGCAAGAGCCTTCAGTTCATCGAGTTTCAATAGCGATGATGCCTCCTCTAGTGTACTTATCTCCTCTTCGGACCGGTCCGCGAATGTGAACGAGGTGCCCAATGTCGTCCCTGCCGGTGCCTCCAACTCGCCCGGATGTGACTCAACTTCGGAGGAAGACGGGGGGAGATTGTATGTGCGTTGTAGTGTCTCGGCGGCTGCTTCAAGGTCTGAAATATCACTATGGTAGCCCAGGTTCTTTATCCGATGCCAGACGGACGTCTTGCGAAGGAACAGCCGTACATATCTATGAATGCGAGAGAAATCAGCAGCAGCATAGACGCCCTTTTACTTCAGATTCGGACTTACAGATACTGTGCTTCATAGCCTATTTCCCTCCATATCCGAAAGACTTCTGTTTCAGCCTCATCAAAGAGATGGCTTTCTTCATCCAACACTGTATCCAGTGCTAAGTTAAACGCATCAACATAGAGCGAACTTTTACCCCGAATCCATGCACGTTTCTCCAAACGCTCATCCGCTCTTTCGGTTTTGCTCTCCTCCTCTGCCTTGTACGCCTCGTATGCTTTGATGGCGTCATCACTCGTATCGACTTGAGGCAACGCAGTCTCCAGGTCTGTCTTGTGTTCTCTCTCCTCTTCTTTAATCACAATACTCTCACACTCGTCTTCAGAGTCGAGCATTTCGCGCTTGGTCGTTTTCCGTGGTGTTGGCGGTGGTTTCTTGGGGCTGTTGCCCGTCTTCTGGCGCTTGGCCGGTCGATCTTGCTCGCCATCGAAGTTGGTGGATTTTGGATGCTTGATGAACCGGGTAATCATCTGGTTGTGTACGGAAGGGCTTCGAGGATTGAGCGCCATTTTCGTGATCGCAGTAAGCTGCGAGAT